AACCATACAAATATTACCTTCTTGGAGAATGCCGTATACAGTTTGTCCGCGAGTCATAACCTTCTTGGAGAATTTGTCCGCGAGTCATAACCTTCGTGGAGAATGTCGTATACAGTTTGTCCGCGAGTCATTGCCTTCTTGGATAATATCTTATACAGTTTGTCCGCGAGTCATAACCTTCTTGGAGAATGTCGTATACATTTTGTCTACGAGTTCTCAGATACCATCTCCCATATAAAAAAAAATCACATTAAGAAAAAAATGAACCTATTATGTGTTCCTCTCCTAGCTACAAAATGTATCCAAAATCAAAGATGTGGAACATATATATTCTATCATAATCATTTGGTAATTAATGCAATTAGTATCTGTTGAACATAAAAAACTAAATATTACATAAACAACACCCCTAATGCTCATGTTGGTTGTAATTGTGCAACACAGTTAATACATAGAAAACATAAAACATAGAACTCCTTTTGTCATATAAAACACTGTCAAACATCCAATCATACTGTCCACACTGATCTGTGTCCACACTTGTATATATCTAAATAAATTATATACAGAACAAGTAATCAAAATCGCAAGTCAATGACCAGCTGAAAGAACTATAGAAAACCACACTCCACAAAAACACATTGACAACTAAATACTGAACAGTCCTCAGGAACAGTCAATTTAAAATTTCAGAAAAGTTCATCTTAATATATATACCAATATTATTCTTCCAAGTCTAAGACATCCATTTTATATCGATCAATATCTAAAAACAACCAATACTAAATCAATAACCACATACACACATATTACCTTAAATTAGGAGAGAGCGAAGCAGTCAACAGCTGTTTAGAAAGCTCAAACTTGTTTGTAATCTTAGTTTGTTTTTAAGCTCAAAATGAATTGATAAGTGCACATGTGACCTATACAGTTTGTCCGTGAGTCATAACCTTCTTGGAGAAAGTCGTATACAGTGTGTCCGCGAGTCATAACCTTCTTGGAGAATGTCGTATACAGTTTGTTCGCGAGTCTTAACCTTCTTGGAGAATGTCGTATACAGTTTGTCCGCGAGTCATTACCTTCTTGGAGAATGCCGTATACAGTTTGTCCGCGAGTCATAACCTTCTTGGAGAATTTGTCCGCGAGTCATAACCTTCGTGGAGAATGTCGTATACAGTTTGTCCGCGAGTCATTGCCTTCTTGGATAATATCTTATACAGTTTGTCCGCGAGTCATAACCTTCTTGGAGAATGTCGTATACAGTTTGTCCGCGAGTCATTGCCTTCTTGGAGAATGTCGTATGCAGTTTGTCCGTGAGTCATAACCTTCTTGGAGAATGTCGTATACAGTTTGTCCGAGAGTCATAACCTTCTTGGAGGATGTCGTATACAGTTTGTCCGCGATTCATAACCTTCTTGGAGAATGTCGTACACAGTTTGTCCGTGAGTCATTACAATCTTGAAGAATGTCGTATATCGTTTGTCCGCGAGTCATAACCTTCTTGGAGAATGTCGTATACAGTTTGTCCACGAGTCATAACCGTCTTAGAGAATGTCGTATACATTTTGTCTACGAGTCATTACCTTCTTTGAGAATGTCGGTTACCCTTCCATTTTCGTTTTAGTGTTTTTTTTTAAATAAATTTATCAAACGTCATATATTTGGTTTCGTTTTTTTTTTTTCGTTTGTTTCATTTCGATTTCGTTTCTCATTTTAGTAAAAATACCCTTTTTTATCATGTATACGTTTATAGTCTGGCTCAAGCTATGCTGCCCACCAAAAATTCGTTTGTTCCAAACAGCGATTTTTTTTGCCATCCTTGTTTGTTTTAATAGTTCATCTAACCCCTTGTCCAAAAAACCTTCTGTACAAAATTCCGAAAAGTTTTTTCTTCATAAAAGAAAGTTTGGGGCTCCACATAACATGTTTAACCCTGGGGCCGGTATCATGAAGCAATCTTAGTGCTTAAGATCATCTTAAGATCATCTTATCTGCTAAGAGTGTATCTTGAAGTAATCTTAGAATGATTGACAGCCCTTAAGTTAAAATGCTTGTCCCGCTCGCAACCCTAAGAGTACTCTTTATCCTTCTCGGAACGCTCTCTTAGTTTTAATCTTATCGACTGGGTATCTTGAACGTCGATAATCAACATAAGATCGTCTTTGGTTACTCTTAGCAAATTTTAAGTGTATCAGCATTCTTTTTTTACTGAAAACTTAACAGAAAATTCGAAGAGTGGTCAGGGGCACCCCTATCTCTCTCTTAGTTGATAAACTAGCGCTTGCAATGTTCTTGCATGTGCGTTCAAGAGAATAAAATAGGATATCCAAAGGGTCTCCAGAGATCGAACAAATCCATTGGTTTTCCTAGACTACCGTAAGATTGTCCGTGATTACAGTATCGGCAAATGTCCCTAGTAACAGCATTTTGTTCTGCTGAATAGCTGTTAGCATTGTTTCCAAATCATCTTTGTTAAAGTTGGCCTTTCTCATAAAAAATAAAGAGATGTGGTATGATTGACAATTAGACAACTATCTTCCAAAGTTCAAATGAAGTGGATGTAAGCAATTATAGACAACTTTCAACAATGAGACAAGAAAAATTTCAAACAATTCAATTGAGAAAACCAATGGCCTAATCTATAACATTTTTAACAATTACGAAAAAACAAATATGACAGACATGAACCAACGACAACCAGTCCACTAAACTACAGGCTCTTGACTTGGGACATGCAGATAACGATTGTGGCGGGGTTAAACATGCAAAGTTTGTGAGCGCCCAGTCCTCCCTAGTTGACAGCGGAGTTACAGCACAATATAAGAACAAACTATAAAAAATAGTTGAAAAAGGCTTAGCTCATCAGATCGATACAAAACAGAAAAACTTCAAACAAAAACACAAACCGAACGTGGCAAGGTAGTTATACATCCATAATAACAAAAATGACACAAAGTACAGGTCTGAGAGTACTCGTAGTTACTGACAGCTAGTCCAAAGCCAATAACAACTAATAAAAAAATCATGTATCTAAGACTAAAATGTCAATCACTACACACACAACATCCAATGGGTTAAATGTAAAGACGTCATTAACAGTCAGAGAAAACATGACCTTGTGCAATGCCAAAATATAGGTATGGACAGATTGAAGTATCGTGAACGTGCATATGTGTAAAACAATAACATTTAATATGGTTTTAATTTACTGATTACAAAATCAATATTTATACCAATACAAAAATAAACCAATATTCAAAGATCTAATTACACTCAGTGTTGAATTGGTAACCTTTAAGAATAAGTTTATTTAAAGGATTAGTAAGTTTACCCAGATCGTATCTAAATTTTCGGGCTCGGTAAACAACATCACCGTAAAAGTTTTGCTGTGTTATTCCGTTTGAAATCTTTCTACAGGGACAGCCAAACCTTTTTAAATCAAAACTTTGTATCTATAGAAGAATTTAGTAAAGGTTTTAAATAATTTGTGGTAACGAAATTCATGACTTAATAATTTACCAGTAATACATAGATTACGTTCATTAAAATTCAAAACGTTACTACAGACACGGGCATACCGAACTAGTTGGGATATATAAACATCACAAGACGGTGGCAAAGGAACATCACCGTTCAAAAAAGAAAAATTAACAATAGGGAAAGACATATTGTCACTTGTTTTCTTCGGATCGTTTGGAGCACCTCCTCCTGTCATTTTTGTTTTTATTCAAATTTTAAAGTGTGCACCACATTTTTTATGTTATTTAGAATAGACAGAAAAAATATTACAGTCATTCCTTATAATTTAATTCTAAATTCCATTTTAAACCGGAGTAAATCATGAAAAAACGTTGACGACGTCACGGTCACATGACTAAATTATGTCTATGAGCTGATAAACAAAACACCGTCAGCCAATCAGAAGACGCGTTACATCCAAAATTAAATTATTCAATGTTTAAAAGTATTTCGTTAATATAAAAATAAGGAGACATGGTATGATTGCAAATGAAACAAATATCTGCCAAAGTTCAAATGAAGTGGATACAAGTAATTATAGGCAATCGTACGGCCTTTAACAATGAAAAAACCCCATACCGTATCGTCGACTATAAAAGGCCCTGACATGAAAAATATAAAACAATTCAATTGAGTAAACTTATAACAAAACATTTTATGAAAAACACATATGACAGACATGAACCAACGACAACCATAAGATAAAAAAACGACAACCCATGCCCTCAATTACAGGCTTGGGACAGGCACATATAGAATGTGGCGGGGTTAAACATGTTTGAAGGCGCCAACCCTCCCCTCACCCTGGACAGTGGTGCAACAGTACAACATAGAATAATCTATAAAATTCAAGTATTTAGTTTAAGTATGTTTTTCGAGCGTTCTATTAAACGCACACATGCATTTTACTACCGATTTTACTGCGATTTCTAATGTTCTCTTCAAAAATCAAAGACGGTCACTTCGGAAAATTCGAAGAGTGTTATCTTAACTCACAGTCGTAAGTGTATACTAAGATAGGCGTAAAATTGTTAAGAGTAACCCACGAGGGGATTGGAGATACGCTCTTAGCAACATGGTAATGTTCTCGTAAAACGTTCGTAAGTCTTCTCTTAAATGAAACTTAAGATAGGTTTTCATGAATCGATACTGGCCCCTGTTCAACAATCCGCTATCATTTGCAAAGTGCATGTAACAAATAAGCCAGTCATCATCCGAATTCGATATCCAGACAATCTAATTAAAATATCTCTGATTTCGTTATGCTCGTAAGCTAATTCGATAGATCTAAATTTTAATCAGATTGATATTCAGATAACATGACCATTGAATATTATTCTAATAGATACCGGTACCTTGATTTCCAGTATTTTTATTCCCGATTTTGTACATTTTTGTAAACATCAGGGATTCATTTACTTACCGACGCCATTTGCTCTGTTCCAAATTTCAACTTGCTGAACTGAGAAGGAAGATCCGAGGTCTACCCACCAATATGGCTTCTTGTCTAATTTCGTATGAAACATTGTAGATAGATCGCCGTCAACGCCATTTCTTGAAGAGAATCGACCAACCACTGAACTTTGACCTGTCATTTTATTGTAAGACACATCTTCCAAACGATTATTACCTGTAAGTGGATTTTAAAGAAAAAAGAATAAAAAGTCGTTGAACTGCCCCGCTATATTTATAAATATACAATTCGTCGTGACTCAATTGTTCAGAAATGAAAAGTTGGTGTGCAAAGTTGTACGTTTTGAAAAGCAATCTATAAGCGAATATTGTAATGCATAATCAAAATCAAAATGTATTTCTATTTGGAGAACCAGGATATACGTCAATAAGGAAACAACCCGATAATACAAATAAGCAAAAGAAAAAAAAACATATAGTAGACGACAACGTACAATCTTCAAAAGTAGACAGGTTGTCGTGAATATAGCGCGAACTACGTTCCTATGTTAATGTATTTTTTTTTGTCTACGTCGGAACGTCAATGACGTCGGCGTGGGCGGAAGTCATTCTATATGTTATTTTTAAAGGGCATCCAATACAGTTTCAAGGGAGTTAACTCTTGGCGCGACGTTAAGCGTTCGAATTCCCGCAAAAACGTCACTTTCTGCGGGACGTTATGCGTGTAATTTTCCGTAATAAGAACGATATTTTGTATAATCGATGCTCCAACTTCTACACCATTAAGATTAATTATAGAATAACTAATCGAAGAATTCAAATAGAGAAAAATATTCAACGAGTGACCGAACAACACATTAATTCACGAATGCGCGTAGCGCATGAGTTAATTATCAGTGTTGTTCGGTCACGAGTTGAATATTTTTCGATATTTGAATTCTTTGATTAGTTATTCTTTTTATTACATTGGCAAATGGCTTTTTTTAATGAAATTAATGTAGAAAATGTTAGGAACTATATCTTTTTTCTACGCATTCACAATTTGTTTTGATCCGACGTTATCGACGTCTTGACAACGCCTATTGTTGTATGACGTCAGAGAGTGAAATAACCACGTTTATTTCACATGTGAAATTATCGGTTTTTATTTGACGGGGAAATCAATGTAATTCAATGCTACCAATGTAATAATGCATTTGATTCTCACAGGATAAAAGTCTAAAAAAAATTATAAGAAATTAAACACCTTACTGTTTATGATGTTCCTCATTTTGACGTTTCTGTGAGATCTTCAACAAAATATCATATAGTGAGCAATTTCAAGACGACTGATCCTTTTGGTGTTAATAATATAATGCATGTCAATCATCATTTTTATTATCATTCATCATCCATGATCAAATTTGATTTGGATCCGATATTCTGACATTTTATTACAGCGCAGAAAACCAATGATTTTTAAAAACTAATACCGAAAGTTTCGGTACATGAAGAAGTAAATTTCCTAAATCAATATGGTTTTATGTTTAAAAGCTGCACAAATGTATATAAAGAAAAAACAAATTGGCACATTGTATGTCATGGAAAGAATATGAAAAGGAATTAAGGCAGTGTAACACAAATCTATCAATGGCCTTTAAGTGCAATGAAATAATAATATGTACAGTTTTAAATTACTTAATCATGTGAATATGTTTTGGAAACTGATTTAAATTATAAAAAAAATGTCCCCTAAATACTGAAATTCAGCTCGAAAAAGTTCGTACGCGTTATGACCTGAGATTTCATTCTTCAATGCAGGTCATGACCTGCATTTTCATTGTCATAGGTTGACAGGTATGCTAACGGAACAATTTATTCCATTTATTTATGTTAAATAAAAAATGGTATGCCGCTAATATTAACAATGATACAACTTTAATGAAAGAACAAAGTTCCAATTTTACTCCGCGTTGCACGTATTTTATCCAACAAAGGGCAATAACCAACATTTTTTTTCCTTTAAAACTGTTTACAAATATGTAAGAGAAATGACGGATTGACAGCAAATACAATGCAATTTCTAATATAATTAATATTTCCAAAATGGCATAACTCTTTTAAAAAGTAGTTGATAGGCACTGATTTTCGAACGTGTCCATACAATATAAGTTTTATAAAAATCTGGCAAGAATTGTACATTTGAAAAATCTAATAAACCGGAAGGACCGGAAGGACAGACAGAGGAACGGACGTGCGATATTTTATGTACCCCGCAATGTGCCGCACGATGGACAAAAATACATATAGTTATTTACCAATAACATTGCGCTATAAGAGAAGTATTTGGATTTTAATCACAAATTCGCCCCCCCCTCCCCCCTCAAAAGCATTAAATACTGAGGAGAAAGTATATACTAGTACAAGATTATAAATGCTTTAAGAAGTGACTTGCTTTAAAATCGTAATTTGGGAGGGTATAGTGTTGAAATTTGGGAGAAGAATAAATAGGAACAAAAACAAACCCAAAGTTATGGGGGATGTATAGGTAACATGTTCAGTCTTCTAGCTATTAATTCAATCGTTTTTGACAAATCAAAAATTATGAAAAATTATGAAAAATTTTAAAATTATGGTATAGTTTCTCTGTCTGATAAAAGCCGTCTTTAGCAAATTGAAGATTCTGCTTTATAAGATTTGTTTTTGTTTTCTGACAATTCCGTTTGCAGGAAAAGACCTCATGTAAGTAACCTTTGTGCTGTGATCCAGTGGAAATAAGTATATACAAGTGAACTTTAAAACAGGTTAAAAACAGTAGGAGCCTCCGAATTTTATTCAACTGTAATCATTTACCCGAATAAAAGTTTGATTTTATGAATAAATGTGATATTCTTACAAGAAATCAAAACGTGAATAAAAGGATTTTAAGGGGTATGTTAATGAAACAGCAGCCCACCGAACAAAACAAAACAAAAACATCTAGAGGTCAACATATGGTAAAAAACAATACACAAGTGTGTACAGTACATGTACCTGCATGTCAAGTTCTGAATTGCCGCGAGTCTTTTTAAGTTTAAAAAGCCGTAAAAAACATCAACAGTCCGTAATAACTTTTCTTGAGATGTTTCTCACTTGGACCACAAACAAAGAGAGGTATTTATGATTCACATGATTTTATTTCCAAAAACAATATTTCCAATTTATAGGTAGCTCTTTATAAGCAACATTTATACATCTGAAAAATGTCGACAATAACTTGCAGAGATAATTGGCGGGAGACGTCAAAATTGTCTGCCAGCGACGTCGTGCAATTTCGCGCTAACGTTGAGTTTAACAAGGGGGGCGAAGTTTTTAGGATAAATCGCTTTTATCTTCGAATCCATCACGGTTACATATATTTTTTATTCGAGACTTGGAGAAAGCATGACAAAATGCAGTTAATGTAGAAAAATGAGAAAAATGACATTTTCAGAAACACCCTATTTCCTTATTTTTAGGGTAAAAAATATGCCCCTTTGAGCATCTTGTCCGCAATGTCAAGCAAGGCTTAAATAATTATATAGTCATTCTTGTAGGGATTTATTTTTTTCCTTATTGTCACTTATCACAGCTTCAGATTGAACCAGTCTTATTAATTTACGACCAAGAATATCTACTCAAAAATTTTATAACATTGCCTAACTTTTTTACAAAATTGCACAAATCCCCAATTTTCAGCCTCAATTCTCTCGAAATCAAGCACGGTGACCTATGTTTTATTTTGTGTTTTATTCTATTACTAGACAGAAAAAATATTACAGTCATTTCTTATAATCTAATTCTAAATTCCATTTTAAACCGTAGTAAACCATGAAACAACGTTGATGACGTCACGGTCACATGACAAAATTATGTCTATGAGCTGATAAACAAAACAACGTCAGCCAATCAGAAGACGCGTTACATCCAAAATTAAATTATTAAATGGTAGACTTGAACGGCTGTATTTCTATATAATTCTTATATGATTCACATATTAGAGAATACGTTGATATGATTGGTTGAGAGGACTTCCAGTAGTTGTTCTTGACGTTGTTTATTTTTCGATAGACGACGTTGACCGAACTTCTTTTCGTAACCAATGTAAACAAGATGGCGGCGATAAGGGAGCTACCATTTGATTTTTATGGGGGGGAGCTAGGATGAAATTTGAAAAAAATAGGCAGGACAGGAGTTTTGAGTAAAAAAAAAGGCAGGATGAGTCATTTGCAAAAAAAAAGTCAGGACGACAATTTAGGTAAAAAAAAGTCAGGATAAACTTCAAAAAAAAAGGCAGGACCGAATAGAGTGAAAAATAAAAAGGCAGGACAGAGATTACAGCGAAAAAAAATGCAGGAAGAAAATTTTTCATCCTAGCCCCCCATAAAAATCAAATGGTAGCTCCCTAATGACACAATCCGGATCGACGTTAACAAAATTTATTTTCAATTCGCGTTAATAGGTCTTAATAGTTAAATTAAATAATAAACACAAAACATTCGTTTGAATGATGATAAGAGTTTTTGTAGTTTATTTTTTTATCAGATTGCAAATTTCATGCAGTACATATTTTTGATTTAACCAACAAATATATTCCATGATGCGCCAGGCCTATTCAATGACACAAATATACAATTAACGTGTGATAGAGGTTACGAGTGTGACAAAATAAATTCCTTATCTCCAATTTTAAAGAATTATAAGGATTAAACGCCTTTTTAAAGGAATTTATTGGTGTATAAACTGTACCAAGTCACTCACAAACATATCATAAAAGTCCTTCAGACTTTTATTTGTTTGTGAGTGAATTGGTCGAGTTTATACACCAATAAATTCCTTTAAAAAGGCATTTAATCCTATAATATCTCCTATCGCCACTACATCATGGTGCCGTGACTGTCGGAAACAATGGAATCAAAATTAAAAGCAGTACGAAGAGGACACAGAGGGCAAGTTACAAAGTTATTAAAGAAATTTGATGAGATTGAAAAGAACTCGGACTTAGACAAAGAAGATGTGAAACTAATATCGGATGCAATTGAACAGAAACAAAGGACTATAGTGGATTTGAATGAAAAGATACTGGATTTGACGTCGGAGGAGGATGTAGCGGAGGTAATTCAAGAGTCTGATGAGTATATGTTAATTTAGAGTCCAAACTTCGGAAAATTAGAAAAATATCACATTCTGATTCACTTTCTCAAAATGTCGCATCAACGTCTCTAGATCCAAATGCACACAGTTTTACGCCATCTTACCCCACAAATTCATCGCTTACCAATGCCAATGTTATACGCAGCAATGAAACTGAAATTAATGTACAGCCAACCCATTTTGATAATTTCCGCTCCATGCAAAATACCCATCGTGACTTGCAGTCTACAAATAATTTGTACAACCAACGCTTTTCTTCGGTATCAAATAGCAGTCAAAACCACAGATTACCTAAACTAGATTTACCGCACGTTGATGGGGACATTTTACAATGGCAAACCTTTTGGGATTCCTATGAATCAACTATCCATTTCAACAGTAATTTGACCGAGATACAGAAATTTAGTTACTTGAAGGCCCAACTCCATGGTCATGCCGCCCAAACTATTGAAGGTTTCGCACTGACAAATGCCAATTACACCACTGCCGTTAATTTACTCAAAGAGCGTTTTGGATCGCCTCACAAGATAATTCATGCCTACATGAAAGCGTTAATGGAAATGCCGACTCCTAGCAACAGTTTACAAAGCCTGAGAAGTTATGGGGACAAACTTGAAGCATATGTCCGGGACTACAGTCATTAGGTCAGACGCAAGAGATGTACGGAGCCCTGTTAGTTCCGGAAGTACTTGGAAAACTTCCACCTGAAATTCTCAAAATTATCGCACGAGAACATGACAGCGACAATATTTCTTTGATTGAATTACGCAAATCGATTGTAAAAGAAATCAAAATTCTAGAAGAAGGCCAGACTACAGTTTACGGAGATAATCACATGACCGCTACATTTTTCACCGGAGCGAAGTCGAGACAACAACCTCATTATGACCATAAACATACTAAAATGCCAAAAGGGACACACGCTTGTGTTTTTTGTGACGGAACACATCATTCTAATGAATGTATAAAGGTAAAGGACCCCACAGACAGAATTGCCGTAGTAAAACGTAAGAAATTATGTTTTAATTGCCTTGGATCTCATCTCGCCAAAGAATGTAAATCACACAATAAATGCCGAAAATGCAACAAAAAGCACCATACAAGCCTGTGTGGAGGTCGATTTGTAGCTGAACAGAAGTCACAGTCAGTAACGTCGGGGGGTCAAAATAGAGATAAAGCTGTACCAGTTGTAATGCACACGTCATCTACAGTTAAACAACACGCAAGTGTTTTGTTGAAAACCGCAATAGCACCAGTTTATTTTGAACACAATTACGCAGAAGCAAGTATTTTATTTGACGAGGGTGCTCAACGTTCCTTCATAACTGAGAGTTTAGCCAGGAAGCTAAATGTTAAAGCCATAGAAAAAGAGACAGTTCAACTTGCTGCATTTGGAGACGTAAGTAACAATGTACGCCAACTTGAATCTACAACTATTGATATACAGACCGATTCTGAAGAGAAGATACCAATTCACGCACTGATTGTGCTAACCATATCCGTTCATATGCAGACCAACATGACTCGTTACGTAAGAAATTTGCCGTATTTGAAAAGTCTTAAACTAGCGCATCCACTAAGTTCACATGAACAGTTTGAAATTTCGTTGCTGATAGGAGCAGACTTTTACTGGAAGATAGTGGAGGATAAGGTGATAAGAGGTGATGGACCCACAGCAGTTAGTTCCAAAATTGGCTATTTATTGTCCGGACCAGTTATCGATAACAGGACTTCGTTAATTTCTCCCGTCCTTTTGAATATCATTTCAAGTCATCATATGGAGGAGAAAAGTATTGAAAACTTCTGGAAGTTAGAATCACTCGGGATAAATCCAGCTGAAACAGATGAAGATTTAAAGTACCTACAGACATATCAACAGACTTCACTGAGATTTGAAAATGGACAGTACCACGCCAAGTTGCTATGGAAACAGGACCACCCTTACTTGCCATCAAACTTCTATATCGCGAAATCGAGAACAGAGAGCACAATCAGAAGACTTTGTCGGGAACCAGAGCTACTTCATAGATATGGGGATATAATTAAAGACCAAGAGAAAAGAGGATTTATAGAAAAGGTAAATGAAGATACATTTCCGGTAAAAACTCATTATATTCCTCACCATGCTGTAAAAAAGGACTCAGCTACCACACCCATTAGAATTGTATACGATTGCAGCTGCAGACAATCGCCACACCATGCCAGCTTAAATGACTGTTTAATGCCTATACCGCCAGTACTTAATGATCTTACAAAAATTCTGATGGGATTTCGACTGAACAAAATTGGAGTGAGCACAGATATTGAGAAAGCCTTTCTATATGTTGGCCTAGACAACAGTGACAGAGATGTAACACGCTTCCTATGGTTGAGCGATCCGAATGACCAAACTAGCCAGCTGATTACTTACAGGTTCAAATCTGTATTATTTGGCGCCACATGTTCTCCATTCAGTATCTTAAATGCAGCATTACTGAAACACTTAGATAAATACAAAACGGAAACTGCATCCACCATAAAGAAGGATTTGTATGTTGATAATGTTTTGTCAAGCCTTGAAAATGAGAAGAAAGCTCTTATATATTTCTGTAAAGCAAGATCGTTAATGTCAGAAGCTGGGTTTAATCTACGCTCTTGGACATCTAATAGTAGCCATCTACGAGAACTTGCAGAAGCTGAAAATGTACTTGACAAATCCACCAAAACGAAAATACTTGGACTACGTTGGGATACAATTACAGACAAACTTTCCTTTCCGGAAGTAAAATTTATCCATGCAGGAAATCGGAAATATCACAAAGCGGGAGATTTTAAGCCAGTCATCAAGGATTTACGTTCCGTTAGGACTTTTAAGCCCTATTACTGTGAGAGCCAAAATACTAATGCAAGATTTATGGAGACAGAAAATAGACTGGGACAAACCTATACCGTCATCGGAACTACAACATCTATGGATAAAACTTGCTAAAGATTTAAAGATGCAACTGTAGAAATGAAAAGGCACTATTTCACAAGCTCGTCAGTTAACATGAACCACAATAAATTACATGTTTTTGTCGATGCAAGTATGGACGCATATGGAGCTATAGCATATATTTGCAATGGAAGTCATTCAGCAGTAGTAATGGCGAAGAGTCGTGTAGCACCACTAAAGAAGTTGACTCTTCCACAACTAGAACTAATGGCCGCACTTATCGGCGCTCGCCTTGCTAGTCACATCAGGACTACCCTACCTAGCAACAAAGTCGTATTTTGGTCAGACAGTCAAATTGTTCTACACTGGTTGAATACGTCAAGACAGTTAAAACGATTTGTACAAAACAGAATTAATGAGATCAGAAATTTGACTGCACAGGATAAATGGAGATATTGTCCAACTAAAGAGAATCCAGCAGATTTACTGACTCGAAGACTGCGGAACAATTTTTACAGAACGCACTTTGGTTTAACGGACCCGAATGGCTAACCGATGAGGAAAAATGGCCGACATGGAAGTCAACGCTCACAGATAGTACCGTATTATCATCCTTCGTAGAACACGAAAACAACGACGACCCAACAACAAAAGAAGAAAGTAACAGTCAAAATGAAGCAGGAATTGACATTATTATGGACATTACTCGGTACAGCAGTTTATTCAAAACTATCCGAGTGACCGCTTTTATTCTAAGATTTTTAGCCAACTGTAAAATTCCAAACTCACAGACAAAACCCGACCAGCTAGTGAATTACAACATGCCATGAAATTATGGATAATGAACTGTCAGCAGAGACAATACTCGGAGGAAATTGCAAACTTGAAGTCACAGACCAGCAAAAGATTGTCGCTCGTGAAACAGTTAAGACTATTTCTAGATAAAACTGGAACTATTCGTCGCACCATTGACAGAGACTGCTAGATTCCCTTATTTATTACCTAAAGACCATCTACTTACTCGATTGGTTGTACTAGATGTACACGAAACATTAAAACATTCTGGAGTACTAGCTACCGTAACACAAATACGACAAACATATTGGATTCCGTCCATTCACCAGTATGTGAAGAAAGTTTTACACAAATGTATAACTTGCCGTAAAGTCAGTGGTAAACCATACATAGCACCTGATCCGCCGCCGTTGCCGAAAATCAGATTGACAGAAGCTCCGCCTTTTACAGTCACTGGAGTAGACTTTGCGGGACCCCTGTACGTTAAGGACAGAAATGGAAATGAGAGAAAGGTATTTATCTGCCTGTTTACGTGTGCTTCAACACGTGCCGTTCATCTTGAAGTAGTACCTGACCTTACAGAAGAATCATTTATACAGTCATTTAGAAGATTACTAGCCGTAAATCTCTCCCTCGCACAATGATTTCGGATAATGCGTCTACATGCTTAGCAGCAGCCGACACAATACAGAAACTCACAAGTTCATCAACTTTGAAAGACAGACTTGCAAAACATGGGACTACATGGACGTTCATACCACGACGCGCACCTTGGTATGGAGGTTTTTGGGAGGTCTTATTGGTTTGACAAAAACTTGTTTGAGAAGGACACTTTGTAGGTCATACGTCACTATGGAGACACTTCAAACTATCCTCACAGAAATTGAAGCGATTATCAATGACCAACCCCTGACATACGTTTCTTCCAATATCACAGACGAAGAGCCTTTGACACCATTGTGATAGGGTCATTTATATATTGAAATTATTTATTTGCAATGTACATATATTTTATTATTTATTATTTTCCATGTCCTTATAATTGTAGTTTAAAATATATGTAGTATTGATTTATTACGAAAGTATGGACATAAACAGTAGATTAATACAGGTGATCAATACTTTATATACATGTTTTTACTATTGTGATGTCATATCGACTGTTTAGTTGTGATGTAAGTCTTGTGATGTCATTTCGTATATCTGTGTGATGTAGATTTGGTACAGGAGTTTCATTGGACGATTATGTCACAAGGGATTAATTCTATTTTCTGATTGGTTAGATTTGACCGAGGGAAATTACAAAATTTTGATATTGTTTGAGAGAAAGCACTGGATCATTTTGTCTTGTGTAACTTTCGGAAATTTATTATATTTCTGTGATTATTTATTAGGAAATGTTCCTGTTGTCTCTAAGAATAAAGATTTAAATGTTGACAGTTGAATTATTGTTACCAGTACGTGTGGTATTATAACCTAAGTCCCATGATAGACAGGTAATTAAATGTTTTATGTTATAATGTAAACAATGATTAAATAATGAATTGATTGATCTTGATTGTGGTATTTGATCAGTGTTTGTATAATGTTTACATTTTTGAAACTTTCACAGTTTGATTAACGTATAAATAAAGAAATACTATTTAATAATTATTTGAATATTGTATATTGAATATTATAGCAATTTAATTACTATAAAGAATAACCTTCTTTTCATACTTATGTATTTGTGATACTTTGCAATAGCACTTTTATTTATTTACTGTTAATTATCAGGGACTAGATGTACAATTGTCTTTTAATGCATAATGTGATATTATTGTTTAATACATCTGTTTATGCATATTATATTGTCAATTGCAGGGTTATATTCTTACCATCTATTAAATATTTCCTGTACACAAGGGTGTCTAGTTTTTGTGATTAGCCAGTGGCCACCCCTGTTACACCTGCTATACGGAAGGAAAATAACCACAACTCCGTATCCGCAAACAGACGTTCAAGATACAGCTAATATTTGCAGTGGAAAATCGGAGATCTTGAAACGTGCTCAACTACAGAGAAACATACTGGACAATTTTTGGAACCGTTGGAAAAAGGAATATCTCACGTCATTACGAGAATTCCATCGGACTACAGGAAACAACGACAGAGCAGTCAACACTGGTGATGTCGTGCATATTCATGAAGACATGTTACCAAGAAGCAAATGAAAACTAGCAATCGTCGAGGAACTGGTGACGGGAAACGATGGACACGTCAGATCTGCCGTAGTGAGAACTAGCAAAGGACATACAACGCGACCCATTGTTAAACTCTATCCAATTGAAGTGAATGGAAAAACTGACCGTGTACGAACTAACGATCCTATCGATCACGTTAAATCTGACGAAAATACAGGTCGTACTTTATCAAAAAGAGAAGCATCAGTCCGAGCGAATGAAAGAATTCACAAGTGGATACATGGACAATAATTTGTCAAAGTTAAAGTTAAATTCAGTGAAATCTAATATTGACAGTTAAAAGTTAATTTCACTTTCTACCGTAAGTTACCATAGACAATTTTGAGAATTATTTCATTTAAAATAATTAATTGGTAACTAGAAAATTGATTTTTTATATAATTGTTTTTATTTTCTTTTGCGCGCCCGGAGAATGTCGTGAATATAGCGCGAACTACGTTCCTATGTTAATGTACTTTTGTTTGTCTACGTCGGAACGTCAATGACGTCGGCGTGGGCGGAAGTTATTCTATATGTTATTAAATGGTAGACTTGAACGGCTGTATTTCTATATATCTCCTATCGCCACTACACAGGTGTCTATAAAATACAAAAAATAGACCGGTGTCTCTACAACAGTATAAAAAGATTGTGAATCGATATAACCACCCACAACAACTTTTTTTCTTGGTATGGCGAAATGATATTTTTAGACTTTGGTTAATTTCTTAAACCAGTTTCCCATCTGCAATAAAAATATGAAATTTGGAGTCAATAAAGCATTCTCCCAATAAAAAAAGTTATTGAGTACACGAACGATGCTCTCGACAAAGACCAGGTACAAAAGTCTCACAGATGTAAATTCCCAGTCAATTTCTGAAAGTAAATAAAAATGGCATGCGATTCATATTCCATTTCGTATACCATACCTTCACACCGGTTTTCCAGAATTTGTTTGATCATCTTTTCACGACTTTCAAGTGTTGTTTTCAGCCTGTTCTCGGCTTCGAAGATTCTCTTTAATAGTTTTTGGTTACTGACCAGATCTCCTTTATAATGGGAAATGGAAAGTTTGCAAGCAGACGACAACATAATACATCCGAATATCAAAACAGTAGCCCAGTATAGCATTTTAGCAAATTTCATACTGTTGTAAACAGCCAACAGTAATCATTTGAGCTGTAAAAAAAGAAACACTGGATAAGATAATATCACGCAAAATATCAATTAACAAGTGTTTGTGTATTACGGAACTGATTCGAACGATCCTAAGTATATAAAAAAAAACTTTACTTCAATTTCTGTTATTGATAATTCAAAGCAAGGAGACTACCATATAAAAACAAGGAGATGTGGTATGATTGCCAATGAGACACATATCCACCAAAGTTCAAATGAAGTGGATGTAAGCAATTATAGGCAACCGTACGGCCCATACCGTATAGTCGACTATAAAAGGCCCCGACATGACAAATATGAAACAATTCAATCGAGAAAACTAACGGCCTCATTCATAACAAAACAATTTACGAAAAACAAATATGCCAGACATGATTCAGGCTTAGTCTACAAAGCGTTACATGGTTTAGATGATATCAACTGGATGAGGGGGTGGACAGGGGGTACCCTTCTCCCCCCCCCCCCCCCCATCCCACATCCCGCCCCCTTATCTCCCACCTCCCACTTTTATAATCTTTTTTTCTCTCCCACCTATTTTTTGTCTCCCACCTCCCGCCCTCGCCCCCAACCTCCCACCTCCCTCAAAAACTGTCCACCCCTCCTGGATGAATCTATTTACTTTAGCACCATCTAATACAATTAGAGGTCACTCTTGAAAACTATTTAAGAAACAGTGTAAGACGACACATAGACTAAATACTTTTTCAACTAGCTATAGAATAGTGGATCAGTTGAATAACCTGTCAGATTTAACAGTGACGGCAAAGACTTTGAATAATTTTAAGTCTGCGTTCGATGGCGAAAACTGGAACCCGTATAAATTTATAAGTTCGTGTTAATTTATAAGCTGCGCACACCTATATAAGTTTTTCTTTTTTGTGATAATTTTTCATATCACGCTACTCGCTTGAGATTCATAGGTTTCATAACGAGTGAGAATTGGATATCGCTTGATATCAACTCGAGTTGTTAAATTTCAATATATAATTGTTACTATTTAAATTAAATAACAAGAGTTGATATCACTGAAGCGATATCCAATTCTCACGAGTTGTTGATTATAGGTTTCATAACGAGAGAAAATTGGATACCGCTTGATATCAACTCGAGTTTTTTAATTTCAATATATTACTATTTAAATAAAATAACAATAGTTGATATCAAGCGATATCCAATTCTCACGAATTGTTAAAGCTATTTCTCTTATGGTCAACATTCCCATTGTGTAAAATATAAAAAATCCGCGAATAGATGATATGGTCTTTTGAACATACAAATATGACGTCATATGTCCTATTCCAGCGACAAACTTTGACATCAGCCATTTTAAAACTTTTTGTACGCTTCAGAAAGTAATAACTTTTGATAAAAATAAAATTTTAAGGTGAAAAGTGTGAGTGTTTTGTATATTCTAGAAGAAATCACATATGTCTGTTGCCATGGACGAAATGTAGATCGTCTTAACCTTTGAAAGTTATCAATGACCTAAAGAAAAGCCAATGGAAAGGTCGTAATATTGTCAGATGATACTAGATAAGCCAATCAAATTAACTCAGTTTTCGTATCACTTTTTCGTATCATACTCCGTGCAGTGTGGTTCGAAAAATATCTCTTCATGCAAGAAATAGATAACATGTACACAACCATAAGAGAAAGAAAGTTATCGACAGAAACTAAGGTCGCCCTTCGATGAGAGTGTTGCTGAGAAATACCCTCTCGTTTGAAAAACCATCGCCGTAATCTATAATCATAATTCCATTCCATTTATCTAGAAAATAAAATAGCACAGAGCATACAAGTCTGCCTTCTTACCTTGTCGTTCGCCTAGACAGTCAGAAAACAAGCCCCTAGAAACGACCGTTGTTGCTACTTTCTAAAGACAACAATGGGACTGATACTAAAGCCCGCCATTCTGAAGTTGCGTTAATTTCGCGGAAAAAAATGAAATTGGCGGCAATTTGGAAAATATTCACTTTTTCTGTTTCTTACTTGCCGTTGGAGTTAGAAATTGGTGTCTTTTTATATATCTTAACCATGTGTCTTATTAAAACAGAAAATATAACTCAAATTAAACGTCCTATATAAACAAATATGTTGACGATTATGCGAAATTGTCTGCTATTTTTGTTCTTATGTTTTCACAGATAAACTAAGATTATTTATATCTATAGAAGAACAAACAAATTAATGCGTATCTTAAACTTTAAAAACAATTTCAAGTCCATTTGAACTAAATTCCGAAGGAAAGACATTTTTTGACATTGTAGGTTTTTTACAGTCTTACACATCGATGTCAACATGTATGTGAACCGAATGTACACACATTTAGTTTATTTCTTTGCAAAAGCAATGGCGCATTCAGTTTAATAATTTGATACCAATAACTCCTTAAATGACTTGATTTTCAATTTTGGTGATGTTGACTTATCTGTAGATCGTAGCTTGATGCTCATTTTTGATGATTACATATTCTCTCTATATATATTATAGTTTTCAGAACAATTGCCAAAAAACACAAAAAATTACAACACTTGTAATTCAAGGGCAATAAATCAATTAAGGTATCAGTTTACAATTTTAGTTATGTTTGACTCATTTGTAGATCTCGATATGCTAATCATTTTGATCGTTTCCAGTTTCTCTCTATCTAGTATAGTATACAATGCAAGTGCGAAAACGCTAAAAGGGGCCACGTTCAATTTTTCGTAGATCTTATTTAGGCGATTATGTTTGCTGTTCATAGTTCTGTCTTTTTAAAAGTTTCCATGAAAAAGTCCGGGACCCCCCTCCCCCCCCCTCCCCCCCCAAAAAAAATCGCCATTATCAGTCGGCAATATCTCCTATAAGAGTCGATTGACAATTTCTGTTACTTTCACTTATTTGCTGATCATATCTAGCTGTATATTTGATTTGTTGAAAGATTTTCTCAATCTATAAATATAAGATCATTGTAAAAATGATACCCTCAAAATTCCGTTTTGGCTTTCTTTGTTCATCAGATGTCACGAATAGGAAGTTTTAGAAAAGCAACAGAAAAAAATAATTTTTGGGGAAATTAAAAGGTAGGTAGATCTTTATGCGATGCACATATGTGCCAGTCAGATTTTTCTTTCCGTTATAGTTTTTAAAAAATAAGACAAGAACCTGCAATTTACTCTTATTTCCATTTTAAGCCATGACGGCAATTCTTTTTTTTTTTTTAATGTGGAACAAAACAAAAAGCTAATGTAATTTACTCTAAGGAACATTCAAAAAATGTTTAATCTCTGAACCTTTTAATAATTCCCATTTTTTTAAATGTTTGAACAAAGTGAATGCACCCTAAGGATATTGGTTATATTCCTATTCCTTCACTCACTTACTCACTTAGATAAGTTGATCCTGCACTTTTTAGTGTTTATTTTGTTTTTTTAATTCTGTGTTTATTCCCCTTTGGATTTTTTTGTCATCAGAGGTCTTCAATAGGTAAGGTACTGCAGTGGCGGATCCAGAACTTTTAGTAAGGGGGGGGGGGGGGGGGGGGCTCCAGTCACGCTTCAGTGATTCCCTATATAATCAACCAATTTTTTCCCACGATTATTTTATGTTTTATCTTGTTTTAAGTCATGAAAGAAGTTCTGAGTCCAATGAAATTAAAGGAAGAAATCAAAGTTCTAAAACTGTAGATTTCCTTCCTGTCAATGTGATGTTTATACATCTAATGATAAGGGTGTCTAGTTTGCACAAGTTTTCGGAATTTGGGGTTTTATTTGTCACTTTCGTGTTTGATTTGGCTTTCAAATGTTGTGATTTTAGTGCAATTAATGTAGACGAAACGAGATGCGTACCAATTTATAATGTCTGGTATCTTTGACGAGTTTTCACAGTTGTTTGAGAGAACGAATGATCATATGGCAAAATCAAGGGTACTTTATTTAAATCATTTGCACCACGTGACTTTGTCCCTTTTGATCAAATTACTTCCCTTAGCTTAAGATTGAAAATATAATTTATTATAGATTTGCGGATAATCTAGTCCTTTTCCGTCATATATCTAAAACTAGTGTATCTTTAAAAACTTCCTTTGGCGGATATTTACAAAAATGCTGTGTAATTCTAAGGGAAAATGCTTAAAATTTGACTTTTTACGAAATGGGAAGGTTGAAATCATCATGTTTTTAAAAGAATTTGGCCGAAAACTTAAGAAAGCAGGTAAGTTAAAAGTTATTTAACTTTAAAATTCAACCTACAAGGTGTTTCCCTATAAGCGAACAAATCAAGAACAATATCTTCTTGCATGTGTATTTCTGTTTTGAATCTTGCTATTTTACGATTTTACGTCATTTTATTTGATCTTATATAGCAATTACACAATGGTTACGCTTCCGATTTTTTAAACTAAAAAGGCCGAAAGATTTCAGAGTAGACAATGTCCATTTGTACACGAACAGAAGCCTAAAAACATGTACAATTCACCTATATGCGAACAAATTGTTCATTCGACATAGGTATTTGCATATTGGCATTTTTATTAAAAGGGCTTATATAATCCTATTGTAATGGCTGCCGTCATGATAAGGCAAAATGGCCGCTATGCAAATTAGCAAATTACCCCAAATTTTGCCATATGTATAGATTGTCATGTAAGGATATTTATATCTGTTTTAGTCAGTCGAAATTTTACCACTGCAATTTGCCTTTGGGAACTTCTCCTTTTTAATACTAGTAAAATTGAGAATGGAAATGGGGAATGTGTCAAAGAGACAACAACCCGACCAAAGAGCAGAAAACAGCCGAAGGCCACCAATGGGTCTACAACACAGCGAGAAAATCATTTTCAACTTCATAGCAGTACGAAGTTGAAAATGTGTATGATATCAAAGCTGGTAAATAGTGAAACGGTGTGAAACCAGTGTTAATTAGTCTAAAGGCCAACAACACCTAGTCTAAAGATGAAAAGGCTGTAGATTTCTCATATAAACTGATCCGAAGCATCAGAGACATATATACATATGTGTATATATGTCTCTGAAAACATTCAAGAAATACACATGTGTATATACGTCTCTGAAAATATTAAAGAAATACACATGTGTATATACGTCTCTGAAAATATTAAAGAAATACACATGGGTATATATGTCTCTAAAAACATTAAAGAAATACACGTGTATATGTCTCTGAAAACATTAAAGAAATACACATGTGTATATATGTCTCTGAAAACATTAAAGAAATACACATGTGTATATATGTCTCTGAAAACATTAAAGAAATACACATGTGTATATATGTCTCTGAAAACATTAAAGAACAAGTCTGACAAAAACAAACAAGTCCACAAAACACTACACAGAAAATTAAAGATTGAACAACATGAACCCCACTAAAACTTGAGAGTAAACAGGTTCTCCAGGGGCGGATCCAGGATTTTAGGTTAGGTGGGGGCGCAAACTTAAAGTTTTGCCCATCGGAGCGACGCGAAAAAATTTTTGAGGTAAAATTATCGAAATATTCTTCTATTAAGCTGAGGACAACCCATGCTTTGCGAATTTTAGGGTGGCGCACGAACGCCACACCCCCACCTGAATCCGCCCCTGTTCTCTTGAATGGTTGTAAGCAGTTTCAATTGAAGGCAGACATCTTTTTTCTCCTGACAAGCAATTTCTGATGATAATTCGCATTAGCCATATCGATGAAAGGAATATAGGATTGGGACAACAAATTAAATTTAGCATATCTGGTGTGGTCATCTGTGCCGCAGATCTTAACCCGTTGTGAATTAGGGTTTGGATGGCGGTTTACAGAATAGAGAATAAAGGGCAAAAAATATAAATAATAGAGAAAAATGGAGCAAAATATAAAGAATAGAGAATAATGAGGTACTAAAATATATAGAATAGAGAATAATGGACAAAAAGTATAAAGAGTAGAGAAAAATGGCATAGAAAATTAAAGAGTACAGAAATTTAAGAATACTTTGTTCAGTGACTTGCGTGTACGCAGCTACATTTTATTAAGGAAATCATGATACGAAACCTCAGATCTGTGTTGCTATCATGAGGGGCCTGATTGGGGGGGGGGGGGGGGGGGGGGGTCTCATCACGATTCACGAGTTGATTTTTTTGTCAATCACGATTCACAGAAAATAAATTTCCATGATCACGGATCACGAAAATATAAAAAAAAAAAAATCTGTAGAAAAACGGATCACGATAGCGAAAATGCGCCGATCACGAAGAACGAAAATAACCCATCAGGCCCCTCTATCATCTGGAATAAATACTCTACATGCAGAGCTTCTGTAATTTTGCTAGATTAATATGAAAAAATCATGTTTTCAAAATTGACATCATCTTCTTTGTAGTGCTGATCTGATCCTTTGATAATCTTGACAAGACTTATAGCTAGGTGCTTGTTTGCCTTTCTATGATTTGGTAATCTGTTTATCATAGTTACTTCTTATGCTACTTCTAGAAACTTTTTTATTTTCAGGATTTGAAAGCAGGACGTATCAGACCTTGAAATTGCCATGTACTTGCTATGATATGCTACAATATGTGTTGTTATCGGTGTTCCACTATCTGTATCACTCTGCTCAGCTCTTCTTAAAATTGCATATTACGACTTTGTGACGTCAACTACGTTAACTCGTCCTAAATAATTTTGACCCGGACAAACCAACAACGCCAGAATGAATAAACACATGTTGATAGGTTTGACCCGAACTTACCAAGTCTTCTTCCAGTTTTCTGGTGAAACAAAGAAAAACATTTGTTTCTATCATGTGAAATACACAAATACAAATACAACCAATCCATTAATGGCAGACAGTATATCCGAAGCATCCATCCCATCAACATCAAGATCCAGCATAAATTCCCCATCAATTAACTGCTCAACTTTCAGTACAGATATACCGATCATGACATCATCACCTAAACCAATAAAAACCAAGACAGTACCAAAGAAACAGTTAAGAATCCTAAACATCAATTTCCAAAGCGTAAGGAAAAAAGGTAAACTCCTTGAAACATTACTTGAATCAACTGAACCAGATATAATCATAGGCACAGAAACATGGTTAGACTCAAACATCAAGTCAAGCGAGATAATCCCTGATTATCTTAACTATGATATGGAACGCAGAGATCGCCCAAAAGACCCCCATGGGGGAGTAATGATAGCTGCTAAAAAAACATTACAGCTAGGGAACATCACAAAAAGCAAAGACATAGAATTAATTACTGGTACAATAAATCTAGAAGGGAAAAAGAAAATGCTTGTAGGTGCTTTCTACCGACCACCGGATAAAACTGACGACACATATCTGAACCAAACAAAGAATGAAATAAATACCATCAGAACGAAACACCAGAAAGACATATTCTTAATTGGAGGCGACTTCAACTTACCAGACATTAATTGGTCAGAACAATCTATACTAAACAGACAATATCCAATCAGGACCAACCAAACTTTCTTGGAGATTGTAGCTGATAACGGATTGGAGCAAATTGTAGACTTCACCACACGTAAAGACAACACCTTGGACCTTATACTCACCTCTCATCCAGCTTTTAAACTACGTTGCAAACCATTACCATCAATAGGAAACAGTGACCATGATATCGTCCTACTAGATTTGGCATGCAAACCATTTAAACCAAAGCCAGTGAGAAGAAAAATTTACTTATGGAAGAAAGCAGAAATACACAAAATAAAAGAAGACTTGGCCAATTTTAACTCATCTTTCATTAACACTGTAGACAGAAATGTTGAAACCATGTGGCAAGCATTCAAAAAAGCAATCCAAAATAACATAGATAAGAGAGTACCAACAAAAATGAGCCAAGGAAAACACACACATCCATGGATAAACACCACCATTAGAAGGAAGATAAATTAAAAAAATAAAGCCCACAAGAAGGCCAGGAAAACGAATTAGAAAAGAGACATGGATAGATATAAGAGACTCAAACAGGAAACACAATGGGAAGTCAGGCAAGCCAACAAAAAATATATGGAAGAAGTAAGCACCAATTATAAAGACAACTCGAAGAAATTCTGGTCATATATAAAGAGCAAAGGTCAAGAATGGACAGGTGTAGCACCATTAAAGAACAAATTGGGATTTCTTCAAAGCGACAATAAAAGCAAAGCTGAGATACTCAATGATCAATTCCAGTCAGTATTCACAAAGGAAAACCTAAATAACTTTCCTAACAAAGGAAAGAGCCCATATTCCACCATGGATGATATCAAAATCAGCACTAAGGGAGTACACAAACTACTCAAAAACCTTAAACCACACAAAGCTACTGGTCCAGACTCAATTCCATCCTTCATCCTGAAAACAGCGGCAGACCAACTCGCTCCTTTTCTAACAGATCTGTACCAAACATCCCTGAACACCGGAGAAGTCCCACAAGATTGGAGAGATGCTAACGTGGTACCCCTATTCAAGAAAGATGAAAGACATTTAGCTTCCAACTATAGACCTGCATCATTAACTTCCATCACATGTAAGGTCTTGGAACACATAGTCCACAGCAGTATTATGGACCATTTTGACAAACACAACATAATTACCAACGCATAGCATGAATTCCGCAAAAAACGATCATGCTAATCACAACTTATAATAACAATCAACGACATTGCAAAGAAACTGGAAAAAGGATCCCAAGTTGACATCATCCTTCTTGACTTTGCAAAGGCATTCGACAAAGTACCGCACCACCGCCTTTTACACAAACTAGAATTTTATGGAGTAAACCCTAAAGCTACAAAATGGATTCAATCATGCCTTGAAAACAGAATGCAAAGCGTAATATTAGAAGGAGCTGTCTCCTCTCAAGTTACTCAGATTTATATATAAATGAGGAATTTTTACAGGTATAGATTTGAAGACCCTGCAGAATGTGTTAGTAATTGAAATTTTAGTTTCAAAAGGTTTGGATATTGAAATATACTTACCATATAATCTGATAGTTAATAATTTAAAATAAAGGCCCAAATATTTCGGTAAACAGGAAGTTGTTGAGTGATGAATCTGAAAACGCATCACACGATATAGCTGACTTATATAAACCCTGAAACCAAATTTCAGAAATCCTAATGATGTAGTTCCTGAGAAAGCTGCGAGGAAAAATATTCATGGGACGGATGGACAGATGGACGAATGGATGGACAGACGGCCGGAGAAATAGATGGACAGACAGACAGAAGTAAAACAGTATACCCCTACCTTTATAAAGCCAGGGGCGTAGCTACCCGGAGGCACGGCAGCACGTGCATCCACGTTTTCACAATAAAAAAAAAAATGAGAGAGAGAGGGAGAGAGAGAGTGAGGGACAAAATTAACATATAGGAATTGGTCTTTCTATGTATGCATTTTAAAAACTACACAAAGAATAAAAGCAAGAGGAATACACATGCAGAGGAATTTTTAATCCTGTAAGACATGTATATGTACGATAAATACATACAACTGGTGTAAACTTAGAGGAACTTTTTATATTACGGGCATTGTTTAGAAAATACCAGCTACATAGTTGTTGGTACCACAACCATACCGTATACTCGCTTTGAGTGTAAAAAAAACATAATCCCTCTAGGGTTAACAAAAAAACTTGAAAATTATTATTTTCCGATTCGCCCCAAAGCACACATCTTACTAGAATGAAGACTTTTCAACTCGTATCGATCCGGGAATAATGACTGTAACCTTGTGAACTAGTTCAATATTAACTAAGTATGTAGGTCTTGACAACACGAATAGTTCATTTTCACATCACGTCAACGTATCTCGTCCTGTGTGCATGTAATATTTGCTACCGGACATTAATAACCATTCAATCAATCAATAGTTTCCGTATACTAGTAGATGAGAAGTTGGAACTGTCGTTATTATAAAAAAAAGTACACATTTTCCAGTACATGTTTTACGTTTTTATTTATTTTACAAAAAAAATCTTTTATATAGATTCGATAATTCGAAGTCGTTTCTATATGGGCCGGCTATACGGATGGTTGATTGTAAAACCATTTAAGTAAACTGTTAATTCTAACTCGTTTTACTGGACTATTAGGTCATTCAATTTTAAAAAGAACTGTCTGTCCGAGTAGGACACTTAACTGCTGATTCTTGTTCGAAAGATACACCAAACTTTTATTACACGTATCTTCACTGTTATCATATAGTTATTGCCATACAACTGGTCGAATGCATATGCATTTGTTAATTAGCTGGCTAATTAAAAACGCAGATCATGAAAAAGATTGTGATCAAAGTACCATTTACTCTGAAAAAATCCATTAATTTCAACTTCGAATATTCCTAACTACATAAAATTCGAAATTCCCATCTCTCTCTTGTAGAGTTTACCCACAAAATTTTTAAACATCTAAATACATATGTTAAGCAAAATATATGAGAATGTGTCCACCAAGTATTTAGTATTCATGATGTTTTGCTAACAGAAACTCCACATATAGTATTGTGTTTATGTTTATTGTTTGTTTTAAATCTACTTTGCTCAATACAAATACTAGCATATGGAACAAATCTCCGTGATTTTAAAAGCTTTCACGTACAAAATACGCAAGCGACAATGTTATGTAAGTCTTCATTCGACTCGAAGTTAAACAAATAGTTGACCAAAAAACCACAACAAAAATGTCCAAGTTTTATTTCGTTTGTGATTGTTTTGAAACGCTATATATGCGGAGCTTCCGGGGGGCTTCGCCCCCCTGGCCTCCAACTAGGGCTTTGCCCTGGACCTACTGGGGGCTTTAGGCAGCCCCCAGACCCCTCGCCCTATAGTTTGTGATTCCACTTCATTAAGAAGGTAGCTACGCCCCTGAAAGCGGGGGTATAATAAACTGTTGACACAACATGATAACTTTCAAATTCAATGAATCATGAAGGGAGGTGCAGATCAAATAATCTCTGTGGAAATATGATATGACAATGGTAGCTACTACAACTGCATACGTAATATCAATGACTGAGCCGGATTTTTTAATGTACGAGTTCACAAGTCCTAAGGAATATATGTCATCCTACATAATTTTGATCTAGAACCAGTTTTTGCTCTTACTCCTTGTGCTGCGTGCTTGTACTATATCATTTGGAGAAAAGCAGAAAATACCAATTTTTTTTCTTTGATTTGACCTGGCCTGGGATCCAACCCTCGACCCCGTGCACTGAAGCACGCCACCAGGAGACAAACAGTGGTTAATATTCTCCAAGGAAATGATATGTGCCAATATTAATACAACTGCATACAAGACATCATTGGCTTTCGATTAGTGGTTTCCCTTAAACTGACCTGAACACATATTATTAACAAGTTGTTGACACCGCCTCCAAAAACATAATGCCAAGTCTCAACACCGACTCCAGCAAGACAAAAATTCTTTAACAGAATTTTATGATGACTTTATAGCCACTTTATACCAATCCACATATAAGATATTCATGCATAATGAAAAATAACAAAACAAAAACTTTGAACTTCATTTTATTATTAAAATTTAAATACTGCTTTGCCTTATTGTTTTGTCTGAACATTACTTTCTGGTCTAATGGACTAAAACATGCTCCCTTCTATAGTAATCATTTTGTTCCAAGCATGCAGGTGTAAAGCTTACCTGATCTAAATCACTAAGATTATTCATTGAATGCTCAGATACATAACTTCACTTTGTAAAGATTTTTGGTTATGCAGGGTTCGGTTTGATATGTTTCACTGTATTTCAACAACCAAAATGGAAATGTTTCATGGCTAGAAGTCCTTTTTTTTTAATTTTGTCTGATTTCCTACAATTAAGAAATACTAGAGGATTTTAATTTCCATTAAAACTTATTCCTTATAATCATTTCATTACTATCTTTATTTTTCCTTTCAGGCAACATAGCTTCAGATGTATCAAGTGAGCAATATTCTTAGAATGATTTCACAAAATAGAATTTTAGAACACAAAAGGCCTACCAGTAAACACTATTTCAACCACTTATTTCAAAACATTATCATGTCTACTGAACAGAGATGCTACACAATACAAGTATACACATTGTATTCAGTTCCTAACAAATCCTTTCACTGGCTTCAACAGAGAAGACCTAGGTTATGGGAGATAACTCCATATACATGTATCAGAAATGTATTCTGTAAAAAGCTAATCAGTTTGTTTTATTCTGAATTCAAATAAAGTTTTCTATGTCTATGTATGTTTCTAATAGTCTCATCAATGATGTTAAAACGTTCGTGTGCAAAAAAAAGAAATAAAATAATCTCTGTAACTTAGAAGCTTGGAATATATTATAAAATGGTTGACACAAACCAGCCAGTACTGATTAAAAGTCCTTTAACCTAGGTCTATCTTGTTTTTCAATAATTTCATCACTACAATAACACTAAACAATATCTTACTGATTATTGAAATAAAAATTTAGACTTAATACATATATAATAGTGCAGTTTCAAAAAATAAAGACACTCAGTAATTTTCTCAAATAAGAGATTAAGCACTATTACTCAGACAATATAAAGTTATTTCTAACTTTCCAGTTATGAAAATATATTATTTTTCAATAATGTGAAATAGTTTACAGTCAAATCTTCAACATTTTACCTTATCTAAGCAAAATAATCAAATTAGTTCTTCTAACAAGGAAGGAAATTGTCAAGGCTAAGTTACTTACTGTATTACGAATTATACTGTAAATTAAAGAAATTATTGCGATGATTTTATTAATGCTAAAAATGCAACGATATCAGGTTCACAATAGTAAAAACTCACATTCATAATTTCAGTAGTGATTTTCCTTTGTTATTTTTTTTGCAATCGTATTAATTAGATTTGGCATTTTTGACAGAGGACAAGGATTCACAAAGCATTAATTTCTGAATTTACAGTAACTAATAATAGTAACCATGCACTTATTATATCTAAGAATTTGATATGGTCCAAAAAATGGCATATTGTACCTTGATTATCTATGATTTTTTAATAATGATATAGTATAATCAAAACTCACTTTAATAATGATATAATCAAAACTAACTGTTAGTTGTTATTCAATTGAATTCTAACAAGAGACTACTAGCAAAGTTCTTCCCAAGGTAAACTGAACAAAAAGCACCAAAAATAAAAAACGGGAGCCAAGAACCAGCAAAAATCAGCCTTCCACTACAAAGCTAAATAAATGGCTCTTCATCCAGTAGTTCTGGCTTGTAAACATAAAATGCCAATGTGAAAAAACAAAATGCATATATTATTTCCAGAACTTTTTGACAAAATTTAAATAGTATTTTCTTTATAAATAAGCTCCAAACATTTAAATGTAAAACCATATTTTAATCATAATGAAAGCAGCACCAAACATCATCTAATAAAACAACACACATTTTATATAAAAAAAGATGGTCCTCTTTATAATGCCATACTTGTTCAAAAGATAAAAATGCACCATTTATTTTATATAAATCATAAATTTCAAGTTTTTTTATTTATAATACACTAAAAGAGCATTGTTTAGTTAAAAATCATTAAAATCTATTAATTAAGGGTTGTATAGTAATAATACCATTTATAAAACAGCCATGATTTAGGTCATACACAGTTAATCATCTGGTTATCAGATAATAGTTCCTTTTGTTAAATTCAGAAATGTGAGAACTGGTGTTTATTGCATGTGTTTTCGTGAACAAATGTTTTCTATTCAAAACAAACATGTGATAAGATCGGGCAGGATTCTTATATTGAAATTGTCAGTTATTTCATCAATCATTAATTCATAATAAATCAAGTAGTGGATAGTAAAATCCTACCACGATCTCAAATAGTGTAGCCTTTCGGGAATAATTTGTGACTCTTTTCACTAAAAAGATTTCTCTAGTCCTGCTGAAATGACCCATAGAATTTTATGGTTAAAATCAGTGTATTTTGATAAAACAGAGATTCCAGCTCTCTTCACCATTCTAAATCTTGTAGTATATTCAAATATTGTGTTACATGGATTATTTTATCAACAACAAATGTGAAGCTGTTGATATTTCCGAGGTGTGTTTTTTTTTTGTTAGAACCAGATAGTTAAAATAAAATAAAGCAAATCAATATTGGTTTAATACATATTTGAGTCATATAATTGACTATTTATCTAAGTTTAAAAAATCAATATAAATTATTGTTAGAAAAATTAAAATCAAGGCTTCGCAGATTTCCGTTCAAGATTTGTAATATTTTTTTTCTTCTACTATACATTGAACTTATAATTTTATTACATAATTTTATTATATTGATACAAACATAAAAACATATGTACAAATATCACAACTTAATACGAAAACTTAACAAAATATATAACAAACAATTAACATAATAGCTGCAAAGTTGTTGTTCTGGAGTAATACCACCATTGTTTTTCCCCTATAAGTCTTTGTTAAATTTGCACTTTTCAAAAAATTGTGCAGAATTTATCTTTGTTTCAAATAAAGAAATACTTGGCATGAGTAAAGTTTTATCCTGTCCAGTACTACAGAAAAAAGTTCACATAACATTTCATTGCATATAAGATAATAACCATCACTGGAAGTTAACTAATCAAATTTTCACCCCCTTTTGCCCTGTTTACAAGCTTTAGTAACCATGTAACCTCAAGATTCAAATTTATTTTATAGAAACACCAAATAAAAATAGAATGGTGCTTTGAAACACCCAAGACATATGTTTATGACTCAGAAATTTTTTACTGCAATGAAATGTAGGATTAATTTCCTACAACTGTCAAATTCAAGGGAATATTTTTTTTCTACCCTTTTTCATATGCAACCGGATGTGACGTTCTATGATTTAGTGGTATTACACCTAAAGCAAGGGTCCGGAAACGGTCATATTTGCCAGTCATGTCCTAAGATGAAACTATTTGTCCTAAACGAGTAATTGGGATTTAGGACAAATTTTATTTTTTTACAGAAGTAATTTCGGTCATTTCATTGACTCAATGTTTGAAATCGGATTTCTTAATCGCCATTTTGCACTTGTGATCACTTGTTTTTGTTTATAATCCCTTTCCTGTAATAAAACTGCCACTACAGTAGTTTGATAATCCTGAGGGCCCTCCTAATATCTATCTCAATGCCTCCGGGAAACATTGGCTAATGATCACTAATCACTTTTTACCTGTGGTTTTAATTCACACCTGACAGTGATCACAAGCTCAGAATAATATCTTTAAAACATTAGTTCCCTGACAAGTGTAATCATTATTTATTTACTTTTCATCAAAGACAGTCATCAATTCTGATTTAAAAATTAAATCTAAATTTACGTAGAAAAAAGTATTTTTTCCTTAGTAACACATGTGCTTTATTTACTATGTAATACGCATGCGTGAAATTGTCTTCAGCAAATTTAATATTTAAATCGTAAAATGCAAATTGATTTCATGCTAAATTAAACGAGTGCAACTATTATCTGTTATATTCAAACACTTTTAATAAAATAAAAAAGCCATAAAAAGCCGGTGATTTCCTGTCAATTGATAAACAAAACAAATCCTGGAAATGAATCCGGAATTATTCGTACTTTAAAATATCGCAAACTTCCGGTTTTAACTTTTGTCAAATCGAAAGAAACGTAAGCAATGTCTGAGAAATTAACCATTTTGAGTCATTAAAATCATTTCAATTTTAGACTGTTGCCTTCCCTAAACTGTCCTTCATGGTAATGGTAAGACATTTACTTAGTAAATGCGATGAAACAACAATACAAGTTCGTCATGTTCGTTGATGCTATGAATATAGTCAAGTTGATATCGACAATTTGAAAAGGGGCACCAACTTTTCAAACATCTCAAAATGACCGAAATTGTCTGGAAAAATTTCCAGATCCTTGACCTAAAGATACGAATCACAAATCACAAAGCCTACACATTATACATGTAGTTTGTTTACACATTTAGATGATTTGTCTACAAAAGACTCATCAGTGACGCTCATATCAAAAATGTTAAAGAGCAAAAATAAAATTTATGGAACACATCTATAAATGACAATAACTGTGACTTATTGCTAACAGGATACAAGTTAAAGTCTTGCTTTTATTTATAGTCTATACTGTTCTTTTTGAGCGCGAAAAGTTTATTATATTAGAGGGGCCATATTTTCTACTTGTTGAGGGTAATCAGTTTCAGTCAGATTTCTTTTGTCCGATTTATTTTTTATAATTTGAATGACAACATTTTTTATGATCTCTGTTAAAATTCTTAAAAATTCTTCCAGATTCAGGGCATTCTAAAGCTTAACATGTTGTATTTAAGACAGAAATTAATGTTAATTTCAGAACTTTTCTTAAACCGTATCAAAAATTGAAAAAATCTTCTATAGTGTTTTAAATGACTAAGTTTAGTATATTTAGTATTTTCAATACAGACCAAGAGGTCATGCCAGCTGTATATTAAAATAGAAAGTATTTTACAATTCTTTTAAATAAAACTTTGCAACTATTACATGTCCATCATAACATCAACAAAATAAACAAAAATGTGTTAAAACATAGAGGTATATTGGCACAGTTTAGCTTAATATTAATAAATAACTGCAAGCAAAATTCACAGCACTTTAAGTAACTTTATGTTATGCATATTATTTATTAATTAGACTTGAGAAATTTAAACAAGTTACAATTTGGTTGTTATTCCATATCGATAATCAAATTGAAAATTTCTTTCCATTATCAAATTACTAAATCATGATTTAGTGCCATTAAAAGTAACAGACCCTGTCAAAATGAAGTAAACTAAAGCCGCTTTGCTTAAATGAACAAAAATGAACTCCTTACTTTTCCATACAAAACACAAGCAAAATGTACAAACCCTTTTATCCATACCATTCATGCAAACTGTTTTATGAGTATTTTGATATGCTATTTGCAAATCTGGTCCCACAATGCATCAGAATGTTTCTATGACAATGGTTGTCATGGGACATATAAACATACATGTACCTTAGTCATTGTCATTGGTTAAAACATTCCATGCAGCATTTAATATGCATTCTAAATTAGAAAACTAATACTAATACGCACAACCTTATTTTTCTAAAGAAACTAAGATATTTACACTGAATTAATAATGCCATATACAGATTCATGGCTTTAAATGAAGTGACACCTATCAAAATTAGATATTGCTTTTTCTTTATAGGGGAAGTATATTAGCTTCATTCTCCCTATTTCAACCCTGAATCAACCTTTTTGACAAAAAAATCAGAAAATAAAGAATACTTTCGAATATATTTATATTTTATCTATAAGCGCATTCTATTCTATTGACTATTTATTAGTTGCGTATGCTTGAGCATTTTATATGCATATACTAATTTACTTATAATAGTAAGTAAAAATGCTACAGATGTGTTTTATAAATATTCTTTTGCAGTTAACACAAAAATAAAATAATATAAAAATATACAGCATTTAATAGAAGTAAACTTTGTTTCTAGTGTAAAAAAGATGTGGAAGTTACCAAAGGGATATTCAAACTCATAGTGGATGACAAACTCACAATGCTGAAAGTGTTTTCTCATACTATACTTTCCCTTTTTAATTCAGACTGTTAACTTTTCACAACAATAATGTTGTATATCTGTTAAACCAACATATTAAATAAGAGGGCGCCACCAAAACAAGTGTTCATTAGAATAATTATTTTACCATCATTATAAAGCTCCATATTTGAAATTATTTGTGATTACTAGAGCACATTGTTTTTAAATATGTTTAGGAAATCATAAGAGTCTTGACTTAAATACCCATATCTATTAGATCATATTGGAAATAATACCTTCATGAAATATCGAAATTTTAATATTTCAACATGACATTCCCGATATTATCCACTCTAATAATTTTTTTTTAAATCTAACAATATAATTTCAGAATAGGAAACAATTTCAGATTAAAAATAAATATTGAAAAAAATTCCACCAGTTTTTGGTTCACTTTCTATGTCAAACAGTTGGAACCAGCCAACTTATTATTGTATGTCAACATTTGTTAAAAAAATTAAAAACAAAGTTAAATAAAATATGCATGGACAGTATCATACTGCCCATACCATAAATAATTATACCATAGAAAGAATGAGTACATACGATTTCCTTTATATTGTGATTGACATTAAGGTCAAACATCCATAAAAAAATTTGAACCTGTTGACTCTTTGTTCAAAAATTGCCTAAAGAATACATATTTTTGCAAGAAGTACATGTATGTACCATATTTATCATAAAACAAGCTCTTGCTCTAACACACCACCTTGCAAATTTTGACAAAACAACCTTCAATCAGTTAGCAAATAAATAAATTGAATAATTTACTGTAATTTGTTGGCAAATTAAAAAAATGTGAACAGTAACTTTTAATTATACCAAACAAAGGTGAAGAAATCTGTATTCAGTTGGTTACTGATAGTTTTCTTCACTATTCTTGCTTTGGGCCAAACTAGGATTATACTTACCAATATATAAATGAAGCTGCATATTTTCCTTTTATTGATTTTAGACACAACCAATTGTTAAGGTGGAATAGTAAAAATACATTTAACTTTTAATTAGAGATAATTTAATAATTCACAAGCATGGTTTCAAAGACTCTATTGCACATCCCCTTTAAGAAATATTCAGTTCCCTAGAGCTTATAATATGATACCTATGGTATATTTGAAATTTTGAAAATAATCATCTCAAAATTAAAGATCATACAAAATATTTTCTTGTGATATGGAGAGCAATTTCTGCAGCAATATCACAGTTAAGAGACTATATGTCCCATGACAACGAGATACCATCTTCAAAATGTGCCCAATCAAGGGCAACATTGACTTCAAAGTCATAAAAGCATTCATCATTTGCATATTCCCGTCAGTGTTGATGGCTTCGTCTTCTTTCTTGAACAGGAGAGGTTGATGGTGATGTTCCAAACAACGATCTGAAACTATAAAAGATCAATGGTGTGGTAAAATATGTTTTCAGTTATCAAGGAAAATAGTTTTTGTTTTCTGCTCTTAAAACAAATGAGATAGATTTTGAGTTAATTTTCTACATCACTATTTCACAAACTACATTTAAAACATTCTTATTTTAAGAAAATTAACTACATATATATCAACTGTTAAAATGCCTCATTTCTTATGTGGTTTCTTTGAATTTTCACAGCTAGGTAGGACATTCCTCTATTGTAAAATATTATCATATTTATATTTCATATTTTTTAGAAATGGCTTTTATATTAGGTTAATGAGTTTCAGTCTAAATAATATATACTCCAACCCTTATCTTATTTATGATCATGTGATGGATAAACAGCATTACTTCCATGGATTTTGTGCAAATTTGTCTCATGCAAACTAAATATCTAATAATCTTTTTGATCAATCTATGACATTGTGAAAAATAACTAAATCACTTAAAAATATTTTGGTTGGTTATTGATTCATATATATGTTGCCTTAGCGTTAATTCTTATTTTTCTTAGCAATGTTCAAACACAGTTATACATCAGATATTAGGGAATACAAATTATATAATCATTTGATTGAAATTAACAACATATAAGCTAACATTTAAAATTACCAACATTTTTATTCCTGACAATGCACATGCAACTTACAAATGGAACTGGTGGAAAATCTATTCATACATTTACATGTATACTTGCCTCACAACAGCAAATTGTATTTTAATGAATTATGAATTATGAATTATGAATACCAAAATATCATAGTGCAAATGATTAAGTTCCCATATTATTTTTTGTTAAAAATTCAAGAAGGACACTTCATTCCACAAAACAGTAGATATGAATGAAAGGGTATATGGGAAGTATGTCAGTGTATGATTTAATCTTTAATAATAAAGTGTCCATGCATATTGTCAAGATATAAATTTTTCACAGATGTATGCTTATTGCATAAATTCTCACTGTTTAATGAATTAAAAAATACAGCTAAGGATGTACATGTAAGTAAATAATACATATGTTTTTGAAAAAAATATAACTGTTTATTAATTTTGATTGTTTTTTTTTCCTTATATTTCTTATCAAATTTCCTAATGAATGTAATCATGTTGCAATATGTTTGAGATATTTCTTATTGCTAAAGGATTCAAAAGATGCTAAAACACCAAAATATGAATTATTATTTTAGTTTCAATTTCAATCTTCCCTTACCATATAACTGATGAAAATTTTCTGATTGCATTGTTAAATTATACATGTATCTGACACATTTGAATGTCTTTTAACTGTTTTTAAGGTGACCAATGCCCTGAACAATTCAACATACACGTAGTAGCTGAAGATCTAGCTGCATCTGAGAAAAAACTTGATACTGTGTCTACTTTTTCTATATATACACAAGTACTAACGTTTTTACATGCTATATCTGGCATTGTCTTTTATTTCAAATGCATGACTGTTTAAGAACCAGGCCTGTGTTTCACAAATAAAAGAAGAATGTGTCTGAGGACACGAATGCCCCCGCTCAAGCTTGCTTATAATATGTGAAAATACTTTTGGAAAGGACAGAAAGATGGAAGGAGTGACAGTCAAGGGGTAACACTTAATGTCCCCTTCGCCTAGCAGCGGGGACATAAAAATCTTACAACAGAAATTGATCGTAAGGATGCTAATTGTTCATGACTTACAATCAATTTTAGTCTTAAGATTTTTTGTGAAACAGAGGCCAAAATCTTTATTTTACATATGATTAAAGACTTTAATGAAGGTGCATGAAGGTTATATTAAATATTCTATTATCTATTATTAACATCCTGCTGTGAGTAGTCTACAACTCAAAATTAAGCAACCATTCAATGAAAAAGTTTTAGTGAATTTACATAAATATAGAGATAATAAGCAAATAAATTACATAATACATGTATATGCAAAAATAAATAGAGATCATAATTCAAAAAGTGGGAGAATTTTCTACACATATGACAAGAAACAACACTAATTGTTCTACCTAGAATTCCAAGTCAGGGAGATTTAATTTTTCCACCAGTCCAGTGAAGCTACAAGCAACATACATGATTACTATTTGCAACTATCATTCAAAATAGTAAGCCTTCCTGACAACCTATTCTATATACATAGAGTAATTTTCATGGGCAGCTCTATAAATTTTTTAACTTCATTTTGAATTTAATACATTACTGCACATGCTTAAGTTTGAAAATGTTGCTTCTTTCCCTAAATGCTTCACACCATCACTTTTTTTTATGAAAAAGCCTTATAAAGAATGTATTAACATAAGATAAATGGATTTACTTGTCAACATGTTAACTAACAATGTGCTTGCTAAAAAGCAGCCTGAAAGATGTATTTTTTTCAAAGCTTGTGTGTCTTGGATAGTTTTTGATTTTGAGTTTAAATATAAACTTTATAAAAAAAGTTTTATAAATCTTTGAAACATTAAATGCTCTTATCACTTATTTCTAAACAAATAGCACTATTCAATGTATACTTAGTTATTTTTATAACACCCCTGGGTATCTTAATCATGATTTTTTATTTCATTTTTTAATAACAGCAAATTTTGAATTATGATGCCAGAAAACCTATACTCAAATGACATAGTAACAAAGTGGTTCTTGTAAAAGGGTTATAAGAATAAAATACAAAGGGAGAGAACTAAAGTAATAGATATGACCTTTAAAGTTCAAAGATTTAACAAACAAAATAAGTCACATAATCACCTTTAGAAGATAGATATATAGAAATTGACAGAAATCGTTTTGTCTTCATTTCTCAAATTTCCAAACATTTATTTGTATGAGTTCCTATTTCTGATGAGACTTAGCTTTATAGAGTTTAACACCATAGACCATGTTTAATCCATTTATTTTCCATTGATGAAAGGATTTGTACAAAGTCAGGAAAGCAACTGTTTTGTTTTATCCATTTGCTGTTCCTTTGATATATCTATCATGTTTTCCAGTTTTTTCCAATGAAATTTAAATCCAAAGACTCATTTAATTGACCCTGGAGCTAGTTCATGTTACATTCATTCTATCGTTCTTTTCTTAGCTGTTGTGGCAAACGTAAAGATAATAAATATCTGTTAATGTTTTTCTATTGGACTACTTACAATTTTCTAATGCCTGATTCTCTTCGTCTTCCAGGATAAAGCTTCTCGTAAGGTTCTTTATTAATTGGTCCATACACAGGAAGTTCCTCACCAGTGTATGAATCACTAAAAAATGAACAAAACATTGTAAAACATGAAGTGACTTCAAATTCCTTTAAAACAATTTTTGAGACTATCTACAATGTATAAGACCTGTGGTCAAATGGTGGTCACAGATAACAGCAAATAAGTTTGTTGTTGATGTTCTAAATTTGATATTTCATTGGTCATACCATTTTCCTTGAATCATCATATATTCTTATCTTTGTCCGTATCAGAATATGTTTCTTTGATGCAAACTTGGGATTAAAAATTTAAATCTCAGAAAGTTTGAAGAGTTGTTTCCAGTTCATCTGGAATCACAAATGGGCACATTTCTTGAATAAGTACGAGCCCAAAACTTGACACTTTTGAATTAAAAGACTCAACAGATTGACTTTTTAGCATACAATACATTTTCATAAAAAGATCTTTATGGCTACTTTGCATTGCTTTTAAGGTGTCAGGAAAGCCATGTTTTGCTTAATAATGAGACAAATTCACCACAGTCAAAATACAAGCATAAGTCATGCAAAGTCTTAAATTAGTATTTGCAGCTTTTGCACAAAGCATTGAAGGGAAGATTAAAGATAGGAAAAACCTGAGTAAAGTCTTCCAGTGACAGGTCTTCATGCAGACTATTAAGGAACCTTTTAAACTAGAACCATAAATTCATCTCAACATGTGTGTCTCATAATAAACTGATGTCTCACAATTGGGCATAAAATTCTGAAAAAGACCATCTGATGGACAGCAACATTGCTAATTAATTCAAAGTTGCTGGACCATGAACTAGTGGAAAAGGCCTCGAAATGGTCAACAAACTGAGATGAACAGACAGTAAAGTAACTTTATAGATAAACTGTTATCACAGAGATAAGTCTCGCCTTTTTGTAATTTTGATAATGCAAATGTTGAAATTAAAATTGTAATACTTTAACATGTAAGTTATGCAAATATTCAAAGTCGATGAACCATGACTGATGGTACATGGCTAAACAATCTCCACGGAATGAGATGTGCCAATGCTAATATAACTGTATACCAAATACCATTGACGTATTATAAGTCGTTCCCTTTAAACAAACCTAAACACAAACACTAATTTGTAAACTATGTAAAAGTTTCAAAGTCAATGAACCATGATCAGGGATGGGGCTATATAATCTCCATGGAAAGGATACTTGCAAATGCCAATAAATTTGCATACCAAATATCAATGACTTAACATTAGCAGTTCATCTTAAACTGATCTAATCACAAACTAATACATGTAAACTAAGCAAAAGTTTCAAAGTCAATAGACCATGACTGAGGGGGCGGGCCAAATATTCTCCATAGAAATGAGATGTGCTAATGCTTATACAACTGAACACCAATTAACATTGGCCTACCACTAATGGTTCCCCTTGAACTAACCTAATCACAAACTAATACATGTAAACTTAGCATAATTTTCAAAGTCTATAGACCATGACTAAGGGGGCGGAGCCAAATAATCTCCATGGAAATGAGATATGCCCAAGCTTATACAACTGCATACCAAATATCATTGACCTACCACTAGTGGTTCCCCATAAATTGACCTAATCACAAACTAATACATGTTAACTATGAAAAGTTTCAAAGTCAATAGACCTTGACTGAGGGGGTGGGGCCAAACAATCTCCATGGTAATGAGATGTGCCAATGCTAATACAACTGCATACCAAATATCATTGACCTACCACTATTGGTTCACCATGAACTAGACCTAATCACAAACTAATACATTGTTGATGCCGCCGACGCCTGAAACAGCATACCTATGTCTCGCTTTTTGACTCTGTCAAGGCGGGACAAAAATACAGTTGTCTATAGTAAGAAGTTGAAAATTGCTAATTAATTCAAAGTCACAGGACCATGACCTAGGAGGCAGGGCCTCAAAATAGTCGACAAACTGATACGTACTGATAGTAATGCAACTTCATATACAAAATATCATTGATCTATCACAAGTAGTTCTTATCAGCCTTTCATAGCCGACTATACAGTATAGGTTTTTCTCATTGTTGAAGGCTGCAAGGGTTGCCTATAATTGCTTACATCCACTTCATTTGAACTTTGCTGGATAGTTGTCTCATTGGCAATCATACCACATCTCCTTATTTTTATATTAAGTAAAAATCTTAACAATTGTTGACAACGCCGTCACCAGAAAACCAATACCTATGTCTCGCCTTCCACGACTTTCGTCGCAGGTGAGACAAAAAGCAAAATTTACTTTCATATAACATAGAGATGTTCTCTGCAAGATTACACAATGCATGTCGACAATATACTCAACTATCATCATAAGATATCAAAAGGTATGTAAAGGAAAGAGTTTCTTTAATTTTTCATGCAAGTACACTTGTTCTGACTAGTTGTATAAATTTTTGATTTTTTTTATCACCAATTATTTTGATAAATTTACTCCTTTATCCTTATTATCGTAGTTGATTTTTTTAATTTAGAGTTTGAAAATGTTCACTCATTTGTAAAGAAAGCCACTTTCTAATTCTTATAAAACAAGGGGTACCTTTGCTTGATGTCACAATTGTATTTGCAACATATTAAAGTTGTAGACTTGTAATTTGAACAACACTAAGAGATCTAAAGTGGACATTTCTGTGGGAGTTGCTTGCTATGAAGTTAAATAAAATCCTTTAAAAAGTAAGTCTATTTGTATTTGTACATTTTAAATCTTAAAACCCTTGGTTATTTAAGAACTTTCTATCATCAAATTTAAATGAATGGCTTTAAAAGTGTCTTCTAAATCTGATTCAAACAAAAAAGTTGGGATATTCCTATAGGAATCGAAATAATTCTTTCATGTCATGCTCTATGCTCATTTTAACACGGTAAGCAGTTTATTTGTCCATATTGTACACCACTTTAATGTTCTGTGTAAAGATCTACAAATATGATACCTACCCATGTTAAAATGAACATAGAGCATGAAATGAAAGAATTGTTTCTTTAATATATACATCTTGCAGCTAAGTGATTAGTGTGGATACTTTAATTTTCATTGGTATTTATTTTTGTTGTAAGAAAATTTGCTATTTCAAGGGTACCTAATTATAATAGAAGTTTCATCATGTAAAGTCAAATTATATAGAACTGAAAATTTGTTTATTGTAGAGTATTTACATTTGAGGTTTCTCCTATAAATGAATTCATGAAAATTTATTAATGCCACAATTTATGGACTAAAACAGTGTCAATTGTCAAAACAGGTAAGCATGTGATATTACCTGTCTATCCAACCTGTATACCTAATTTTAGATTCTTACAATTTCTTTTTAATTAGAAATTCTTTGGAAAGTATATTTTACATATATGTTTAGATACCTCATGTACATAATAACTTATTTTAGATTTTAGTTCAATCCTAATTGAACATAATTTAAATGTTGTCCATATATTTACCTATCAGCTTTCAACTGAAATTATTTGCCCCATTTTTTACACTTCTGATGGCTGAATATTTTTTTAAACTTACTTTGACTTTGTGTCATCAGCACTATCCCCATCTGATGCAAAACTGGTCATTAACTGGTTAGCAGGTCTAATAGAGAGAAAATACAAGCAAAGACTGGTTAGCAAAATCTAATAGATAGAAAATACAAGCACAACTTTGTAGAGAAAGCTAATGCAAGTATAAGAACACCTACAATACTCATCATTCATGTAAAAGTAGCATGCTTGATTTTAAAAGCAGAAAGGCATTCTGGGTAAAAGTGTCATGCTTAATCTCTAAGATTAACATTCATATAATTGTCAGTTCTTCCACTTGACATACCCTTTTTTCTTTGTCCTTTGGCTCCTGGATGTTCAATTGTAACAATGGCTTTTTTTTTTAAATGTTTCATAAAAATCTATACTTAATCTTATAAGGCATTAAATAATTAATGTATCCAGAATGTTAAAATTCATCCTTATCTTTGCCTTCATATTAATACTGAAAATCACATAGTGTTCACAATGTTAAATAAATATTCATTTCCCCCTAAGATATTCAACTCGTATTATTGGATTTTCTGTAATTCATTTTACTAAAAAGTTTTAATTACTCCTATATAAAAATAATTATTTTGCAAATCATAAACTTATAATGGTTATACATGTAAGAAATATAGCAATAGATATTGTAGAATTTAACCAATTTTCCATATTTTTTAATGTGTAGTTCTTATTTTTTCAATGATTTTAAGTTAATTATTATGGTACAATATTCATATACTTTATAATTTATCATAAAACAATATTGATCATGTGATTCCAGAATTGGATAATATTTAGTAATTTCTAGCAAAACAATAATATCAAGCATGGTCAAGCTAAGTAAACACAACATAAAAATATCTTTATGCATAAATTTGAATTCAGGGTTCTCACTAAGGCGAGACCACAAGTCCCGGACTCATGAAAATCTGTTTGGACTCTTCATTTTCAAAACTGGTGAGTCCAAAGATGCATCAACATTGTAAAATGTTGTACCAACTGAGCACAAATATCATCAATTTATGACAAAAGTTTAAAAACAACCAAAACTTTATGATATTTTCTTGCTCTATTTTGTCATGGGGACGGATAAAATAAATGATAAAGCAATAAAATTTTATCTTCTAACTGTTTGACTCACCATGGCCAAAAATGATGAGTCCTTGGACTCACCTTCAAAATTCCTAAGTGAGAACCCTGTTGAATAGGATCTATTTCTATGCAGCTGACATTACCTGATTACTATTCCCCAGTCATCAACCAACATACATGGACATCTTAAATTTTGGCATATCTGAATCTAGATACTTTACACCTCGAAGCTATCAACAACTAAATGCTAATCACTTACTTTGGTTTATAGTCAGCTAATTCCTCCTCTACGGCTATAAGTTTTGTTTTAAGTTCATTTCTCTCCAATAAAACAGTTCGTAATTCATTTAATGTAAATCGCGGACGGTTAGGATCTTTTAAGTCAATCACCATTTTGCCAACCATACTAAGTTTTTGTTGTAATTTTTCTAAACTTTCGTCGGTAGGTTCATCATTTGGAATGAAATTGTCAACGGAATGTTCAATAATATCTTCATGTAAGTTCTTTTGATGTGGCTCTTCATCTACTTCCTACAGAAATGGTACAAAAAAAAAAAACATCTTTTGAAATATGCAGTAAATTCTGCCTAAATAAGTTCCTTTAAGACACAATACTGTTCTCATATAGTTCATGTTCAAGTATTTGGTTTAGACAAGTTCAATCTTAGAGAATTTTGTGTTTTAGAATTAAGGATGTTTGCTCCTCTTGTTTCTGAATTTTTGCCAGATACTCGAAATCCTCTGGTTTTATCCATGTGGTGACTGTAAAAATTTTGCCCGCAAACCCCTACTTTTCTTTCCATAATTTGATAACATATAGTTAAAATTGTCATCTTTGAAAATCTTATAAAATCCTTGTTCTTTTTTCATAGTTTTTGAAAGAAAACTGGTGCCAATGTAAAGTGTATGAAAAATATAGAGAGAATCATTTCCCGCCAAATTTTCAATGGCTTATATCTCGAAAACAAGCACACGGACCCTTCATTTTTTTCATTTTTTAGTTTCTTTATTTATATACTATCCTTATAGAACAGTCTTTTAAAAAGCTTGTTATTTTGAAACAGAGTAGCAAACATCATTAATTAAGAATGTACGTTAACAAATTGTAAGTTTCCGATTTACTCAAAGGAAAAAAGAAAGACAGGTTTCACAAGTCATGTTTTATTTACTTTAAACTATCAAATACTTTGTACTCTGAGATTTGATAGATTGATTATCTGTTGTTTGCTTCAACTTTGAATTTTTTGAAATCCTAACAATTTTCAGGAAAATATAATAACCTTAACTGTATTCGGCAAAACCTTTTTGGGATTTTGGGTCCTAAATGCTCTTCAACTTCGTACTTTATTTGGTCTTCCAAATCTTTTTATTCAAGCGTCACTGATGAGTCTTTTGTAGACGAAATGAGCATCTGGCGTACACAATTTTAATTCTGGTATCTATATATGATGAGTTTATATACTTAATGTTCAGTGGTAAATTGACTACAAGACTATTATATATTACTCTATTTGTATAATGCTTCTTTGTATGCATTTCCTTCAATGAAAGTTAGGCAAAGAGTTGTCTCTTTGGCAATCATACACATTTTAATATTTTTTTAAGTCAATACATTACTACATAGTATATGTATGCTTTTTCTGCTATTTCCTGTGTATTTTGTCCTCTATTTATCATTAATAGGACTAATAGAACTACATTTTCCACTATACATATGGTGGCTATGAATAATAAATTGTCCTAAAGAGCAGCAAGCAAGTACAAAATACATAAATGTTTTTTGACATGTATATGCAATTTTTCCTCTGGAAAGTTTTTAAATATATTTCCTGCCACAATCAAACATTAAACTAGGGATTATTGTCACAATGTTTTTTTTTTTTTAAAAAAAACCAATCTTTTTAGTCAGGAGCTCTTGGTCATAAAATTTTACTCGGAACTCAGTACTCGGTTGCCGAGTGATCTAAGCAGTCCAACTACTGTATCACTAGCCAGTCAACACTGAGGTTGTGAGTTCAAATCCCGGACAGGGCAGGTGTCCTCACCACCAATCTTAATTGACTAGGATTGTCAGTTTTCCTAACGAAGGTCAACGGTTCTCTCCAGGCACTCAGGCTTCCTCCACCAATAAAAACTGACCGCCACGAAATAGCACAATAGTGCTAAAAGTGGCGTTAAACACCAAACAATCAATCAGTTCTCAAAGCACAGAATTTGTGCTCTAAACATGAAATCCAAATCTAGAATTTGATTTGATAATCGTACTCAAAATTTTGACCACAGCACTGCATTTCAGTATAACATTAAATCAATTTTAATCATATGATTTTTTTTGCAGCTGAACAATAGTCAGTAGAAGGATTTAATTCCATGCTTTATTGGGCCTGTTCTTTATCTCCCTGTGACACTATACATGTTTATACTCACGACTTCTCTCAGTGGGTTGGACTTTTCCTGAGTGGGTGTGTCTACTCTATCATCTTCCTGAGACTCTTGATCCCTCATTATTTCCTGTATTTGATGAATCTGTTGTTCTTTATCTACAAGCTGAGCCTCTAACTCACTCTTTTCTTCCAACAAAGTTCTAGATTGTTTTTTATGTGTTGTGTTTTTCTTACGAAGTTCTGTATTTACTTTCACAACTTGTTCTAATTGTGTCTGTAGCTAAAATGTAAAATAATATTTTGGTAAATTAAACCAGCAGGTGACTTGCCTCATTATTTCACTCATCAAATAAATACAATATTGTATTTTTTGAGATTTACAGTCATAAAAGTTATCAGTTTTTGATTGGATGGTAAAAAAAAATCCCTTTACTAGCTCAACTATTGAATGCCAGTACTCAATTTGCAACTTTCAAATTGCCAATTTATGTCTGCAAATCTTCAATTTCAAAACTGTTATCTCCTAAATGTCAGAACTTGAAGCAGTGAATTTCAAATTTTTAATAACTATATCTTATTATCATGATTATGAAGAAACAACTTGTAGTTTATTTTCAATCAGTGTTTACAGCCAGGATTAAAATAAGTGTGAGTAAGATGTCATGGACCTTTTTTTCTTTACATTTGTAAGTGAACCCTTTAATTTTTTGAATTACGAAAATCCAAGACCTACCATCCTTTACATTTATGCTTTATATATATAAGTCCTATGATTTTCTTAATGAGAACCATTCACTTTATAATTTAAATGCACAATTCATTCTTTAAAGCATACTTTTACCCCTTGTTTAAAGAATGAGATTTTATCAAAGAGATTTTATTATATCATATAATCTATCGTATTAAAACATCAAGATAAATTGTTACTTTTATTGACCACTATCTCTAGCTATTGACAAGCATTTGCCAAGGGAATGCAATTTCAAATTATTGTGAGATATTCTTACTGCTTCACAATCTATATTTTTTTGACTCAGGTCTCTTTTTTGTTTCCTTAGATCATCTCTCTGCTTGTCAACAGTATCTTTTAACTTCATCAGAACTTCAATTTCTTTTTCCTCAGTTTCTGAAAGTACAGCCAGCATTTGTTATTTTTTCTCATCATATTCAGGCAACATTTTCATGATATCAAATTAAATTTCATTTCATTCTTAATGATTTTATCTTATTTTTCTATCTGCAAATAGCCAATAAATACTTCAACAATATGTCGAACTTCTTCTTGACTTTCTCTCTTTTCCTTGTTGAAGGACAATTACATTTTGCAGAATAATTGTCATTTATTGACACTTTTTGTGTTTTTAATTTAATAAAATATTTTTTCTAAAAACCTGTGGGATTTTTATGTCGACATTGTACCTGTTGTCAATTTCCAAAAAACTGATGATTTTTTCCAACATGCATAAAGACATGACAGACATAGATGCTTCCAAGAATTGCAAATTTAATGTTTATTCAATATTCTATTGGAATATATAAACTATTTAATTTTCCGTTATGAGAACAGTTCTATTTATAAATCTATTTATATCTTCTTCCTGTCCTTTAGGCGGGAAAATAGAGAGACTTAGTTGTTGACATTGAATATGGTTACTTATAGATCTATAGACCAAAGATAAATTTATAGATTTAGGAATTCCTTTTAAATGGTTCATGACAAATAAAGATTTAGATTTCAGGGCAGTATTAAGTCTGTATCTATGTTTGATTATCACCAAAGACAAGAAAGGTTAATATTTACATGAAATCTATGGCAAAATGTTCTAAAATTTATGAAAAATTTCTTTTTATTAAAATCTAAGATAGAAACTGGTTCAAATAATAAAACAATATTTGCAATTGTTCTTGTTAATTTTATATCTTCTTATGACAAGAATCCTTTCACACACAACAACTTTTTTCTAGAAACTAGAAAGTTTTTTAAATAGAACATTTTTGTTCACTTTTATTGATATTTTATTTTTATTGATTTTGGATTTTATAAAAGATTTAATTACTTTAAATTCAGATGAATATTTTATTATGAATCATAATTTATTTATTTAAATAAAATATTAAAGTATACAAACTGTTTTTTGATTTACTTCTTTTTTACCAATAATTTTCTGAATCAATGTGTACCACAGTATTAAAACAAAACAAGAGACATAAAAACTACAGTAACTAGAGCTAAGCGACGCGACGCGACATAACTGATTGCATGAAATATTTCAATAAGAAGTCCACACGCATTACCCTGGTGCTATCCAAAAATCCTGGGGAGAACACTGGAACTAGACATGCTAGACATGATTTGATATTTTTCATGTAGGTTTGGTCATTTCTAAAGGAAAATAAAGGGAATAAATTTTGTCAATGCCTTTTCTTCCTATAAATTCTATCCCTGGTTACCATGGTTACACATTAAACATTTACTAACGTTTAGTTACAGCAGCTACTTCCTCTTTTACTGCTACAGTCTGGTTTTGTAGATGTTCCTTTAACCTTCTGTTGTCAATTTCTAATCTATTAATAGAATTATATAGGTCTTTTGTCTCTCTGTGCCAGTTTTCTTCTATCTGTTCAAGCTCCTAATAAAAGCAATATCAATTATAAAAGTCAGAAACAGAGCTATAACAACACACAGCTAAACATCTATAACATGGTACCATTTTAGGTCACGACACATTATGCTTTAAATTTTCAGTTAAGATAATCACTCAATAATCATAATATACAAGTTTTTTCAAAGTACATGTAAGGCATGTTAGCGCTGTGGTACAAAAAGTGCTTTACTTTTTCACATTTCAATAATTTTCAACCAAAAGTGCTATTATTTTTAATATTTTTATACGTTTATGCACTGTCATGACTGTATGTACAACTTTTAGTTAAACTCAGATTAGAATCTGAAATTAAATACAATGTATTCATGAAACGAAACTTGCATACATAATAATTAAACATCAATGAGAAAACCAAATATTTAGGGGGTCTTCATTTCTGTATATTTCTGTTTTCTATCATTTTAGGTCATTTTTCTCTATCATTATTCTCAATTCTTTATATTTTAGCAGCCATTAATCTCAATTCTATACTTTTAACCCATTATTCTCTTTTCTGAAGACCCTCCTCAATTTAATATTAATCCTGCCTTTTACTCTATCTGTTTTAGCGGTACTTTTTTTCTATCTGCTTATAGGCTACATCAATCTAATGGTTTGCTATATGTTTTTACTAGAGCTTTCATGCTTATGCTGAGAATTTTAATTTGCATTTACCTCAATGCTTTATTCTGATCATAACTACTGTGCTTATGTGACATTTTAGTGTGCAGTTTTATATGACGCGCTGTGCTTATATGACATTTTAGTGTGCATTTTTATTTGATGCTCTGTGCTTATGTGACATTTTAGTGTGCTGTTTTATTTGATGCTCTGTGCTTATGTGACATTTTAGTGTGCTGTTTTATTTGATGCTTATGTCATGTATGTGAACTCATTTTTACCTAACATGTTTATTGTGATTTTTCGAATACATATGTTGTATTCTATTGAAAAACTAGACTTCTTACAGCTCATGTTTTATTGTTACATTTTGGTAACTTTATTTATCATATGCTGACTCTTAATAAGAATTATTTACAAATTTAAACAAGTTCGTGAAATTGATCATATGCATATTTGCATTTGAATTGCTGAATTGAACCAGAAACTTGTTATTAACTGATGAGGTTTTTTTCTGTTTATACTGTTATTTACACAAAATTAATTAAATTGATCTATATATAGAATAGCTGTGTTTGCTCTATAGAATTGAATTAATCACAGTGAAGACACTGATCAATACACTGTATCAGTGTATGTAATAATACACATGTAATTATTGATTACTCGCATTGGATTTTTTTTTACTTAACATTCTTAAAAAAAAACTGCTTCGCTGAGCGCAGCTGGATACGCCCGCAGAGGTCCAACCCTGAACAGTTGGGGCAAAAATGGACACAATATTCAAGCTTGATACAGGTCTGAATTTGGATTGTAATTAAATATTTGACATATTATAGGTTTCTGAATAAATGTAGTCAAAGAACTTGAAATTGGTTATATGAATTGAATTTATATTCAATTAAAGATTTCTTGCTGTTGTACAATACACTGTGTTGTTGTGCAATACACTGTGCTGTTGCGCAATACTTAGTAAATCTGTTGTCAGACTATAAACAAATAAAATCTTATAACACGAAAACGTAAAATGAAAAATTTATAAAAATCAAAAGGGAGCTTACATCAATAGATATAAACAATTTACCAAAATTTCATAAAAAAAAGCTTTCAGCATTTTTGAGTTATTGTCTGAAAACTGGAAAATCCCCCTTTTTGTAATGAAAAAAAAACCGATAAATCGGAAACGTATAGTTTAAAATTTATAAAAATCAAAAGGGAGCTCATGTCGATAGAAATAAACAATTCACCAAAGTTTCATTGTTTTTGAGTTATTGTCCGAAAACTGGAAAATCCCCCCTTTTTAATGAATAAAACCCCAAAACTCGGAAACGGTACATATGAAATTTATAAAAAACAAAAGGGAGCTCATGTCAATAGAAGATATAAACAATTCACAAAAGTTTCATGCAAATTGGTGAAATTGTTTTCGAGTTATTGTCTGAAAACTGGAAAATCCCCCCTTTTTTAATGAATAAAACCCCAAAACTCAAACGATAGATCCGAAATTTATAAAAAACGAAAGGGAGCTCACATCAATAGATATAAACAATTTACTAAAGTTTCATGCATATTGGTTAAAGCGTTTTTGAATAAATGTCCGACATGTTGACGAGTGACAGACGGACAGACAGACAACAGTATACCATAATACGTCCCATTAAACGGACGTATAATAAGTGTAACATAGAACACACGTTTATCTTATTGTCCTGATATTGCGATTAATAGATCATATGATAAAAAAAGAAACATGTAAATTATAAAATGACATAAAACATTGTAAAAACTCCAAGAACAAACATTAACCTCTTCATATTTCATTCTTTCTTGTGCCTTTTCGTTTTTCTCAGATTCCAATTTTTGAATTGTCGTCCTTAGTTCCGTTATTTCTGTATTCTCACGTTCATATCTAGCTGCCAATGATTCTAAATTTTCTAATGCTTTGATCACTTTTGGCATCAAATCAGTGACTGCTTCGACGCCGAATGTTTCTATCATTCTTTCGAATTCTTTGCCAATTGACGCGGCTTGGTCGTATACGTCAACGACTGAGATGGCATCATCAGGTTCTTCTGCCATTACTTCTCTGTCAGATATGAATGTATCCATGGTAGATATTTGATTTTAGTCATGTTTTCCAAAATATACTTTGACCATCTTCCTTATCGAGCACCTGACCCATCCCATTAACGAGTGTTTTGTGACGTGGTTGATTAATTCGTTTATTAAAACGCCTTCGTGACCCTACATATTGATAAATAAACATTGATGCGGGATAGAAAAATAAATAAAATTATTCCTTAGATTTTCATTTATGAATCGCTTGGTCGTCTATTGTAGTTTTAATCGGTATGCTTGTAAATTTTTCCATGAAACAACGTTTTATAATATTTTTAATTGTTCATTTACTGCCCAGAAAAATAAAACTTAAAACCAAAAATCTACTTAATAGTGACGGATCACAACTCCCTTATATACCGAATAACTTGAAACGGAGAATTAGTACACTTATACATCACAAGCAACCAAGACTCAGAACATAATTTTACATTGATAATAAAAGTTGAAATCTTAATGTTTTTGATAATAACTTGATAAAAATATACTGGAAATAAGAAATATTTTTTAATTTTTTTTAATTTTATGACTGCAGATATAACGGCACATGTAAATGCTCTTTTGTTCCGACGTTGTAAAGTTCCGGGCGGAAAGAACTAACTAGCCGAAAAGTTCCGGAGGAACTTATTAACTAGTTACTTTGTTCTTCCTCTGGTTTAAAAGTTCCACCGGAACAAAGTGACTAGTGGAAAAGTTCCAAATCAACCAGTTAGAAAGTTCCTTTTTGCCAAACTGGTCCAAAACCTGAACTAACAAACTAGCCCAAAAGTTCCAACGGAACTTATCAACCAGTCACAAAGTTCCATTTGGAGAAGTGATGCAAAGTAAAAGCGCAACATATTATATTTGAACATTTCAAAGGGAAACCAAGATACTGATTACAAAAGTCAAAAGGAACTTATCAACTAGCCACAAAGTTCCTCTTTGGCAAATATGTCAAAACCGGAACTAACAAACTAGCCCAAAAGTTCCAACGGAACTTATCAACCAGTCACACAAAGTTCCATTTGGAGAATTGATGCAAAGTAAAAGCGCAACATATTATCTTTGAACCTTTTCAAAGGGGAACAAAAGTGTCTTATATACTGATCCTCATTCTTCCCCCTCTTCATTATTATGGTACTTAATTCGGTCAGAATGTTTCCTTCATAACGGAATAAGTTCTATAATTTATTGTTATACATTAATCTGAAATTGATATTTTTAAAAGTACCCACATGAGGAGGGGGTATTCTTCCCTCTCTTGAGGGTACTATGAATACTAAATTTGCATGATAATGCAACTTATTCCGTTTGCTACATTGTTCCGGGACTTTTCAACTAGCTACTTTTTGTTTGTTTGTTTAATAAAAAAAACTCTTCAAGCGATTTACGTGGGAAGAGGCGAATTATTGTCCAAATCGCCTCACTTGATACAGTCACTTTTCATTGAAACTGGTTTGGTGAACTTGGTTTTACAGTGCCAAACTTAGAAATCTCCCACTTGTATGACAATCTACTATGCATCCTGGAGATTAATTCAGACGTGGGAGATTATCTATATCCATTTAAGAGCAAAAAAGGAAGCCATCACGAAGAGTTGCTGTGAGGGTTCATGAACTTATAGATATTCAACCAAATGTCCTCTGTCAGAATGAATACGAGATCATGCAGACATCTTCTGACATCAGACTCGGACTTCTCTTGAACTGAATTTTAATGTGCGTATTGTTGTGCGTTTACTTTTATACATTGGCTAGAGGTATAGGGGGAGGGTTGAGATATCATAAACATGTTTAACCCCGCCGCATTTTTGCGCCTGTCCCAAGTCAGGAGCCTCTAGCCTTTGTCAGTCTTGTATTATTTTTAATTTTAGTTTCTTGTGTACAATTTGGAGTTTAGTATGACGTTCATTATCACTGAACTAGTATATATATTTGTTTAGGGGCCAGCTGAAGGACGCCTCCGGGTGCGGGAATTTCTCGCTGCATTGAAGACCTGTTGGTGACCTTCTGCTGTTGTCTGTTCTATGGTCGGGTTGTTGTCTCTTTGACACATTCCCCATTTCCATTCTCAATTTTATGTTCACAGACTTACGGGTTCCCTTAGCCAAAAAGAAAACTGTGAAACTTGTACCCAATAGTAATAAATACACGAATAACAGTTACAAATACAAAAGTAAATCTAATGTGATGTATATGCCATGACGTTGACCTATATCTGTTAACTTTACGTCATTTGGTCTCTGGTGGAGAGATGTCTCATAGGAAATCATACCATCCTTCTTATTTTTATGATAAGCAAACAACTCACATAAAACTGGAAAGACTTAATACAAGACATACCGCAAACATAACGAATAAAACTGTTTTGTAACATATACAGTATACAGCTCTGACCATCTGGCCATCAAATGAACGCAGCTAGAATAAGATGCCTTCCAATGACTTTGTATAACATTTCAGAAATAGTTATTACTTTGTTATCAGGGTTTGACACTAACTAAATGTATGTACTAGCCTGCAGGGCTAGTGAAATTATTATTCTACTAGTCCTCTTGTCAATTCACTAGTCCTCCAAGTGCCGAAGGCACTTGGACGGTCGTGCCACCGGCACGACCCTATCTAGGAGGGTCTGGGGGCATGCCCCCCCCCCCCAGAAAATTTTGATACAAATGAAGCTAAATCCTGTGTTCTGGAGCATTTCCAGAGGGTTTTGAACACGTTTTGTTACATGAAATTTCACTGGTTTGCTAATAAAAAATAACAAAAAAAAAAAAAAAATATTTTAATCATCTATATTAAGAATGTGTTCGAATTATTTTGAAGACCCCTTTCGATCATTACCTCATCATCATCCTCATTTTACTTATCATTATTACTAGTGTCTTTAATGAAGATGGATAAGTTAGGGATTTAAAAATACACCCACAAAAGAGGAAAGGTTTGCCCTTGCTGTTTTTTGTCATAATTCTTCATGGACTCCTTCTTTTCCCTTGTTGTTTCAGTTTATTTATTTTTTGAAGGAAAAGATTTTATTCCTAAAAATCTGTATAGTTTTACCAGAGACCAAGGAATTGTATAGTATACAAATCCTTGCAGAGACCTATAATTTTGTTTTTATGACAATAATTCAATGATAGTGTTTGCCTCAAATTACATTCGAAATACAACTTTTTCCCCTAGAGAAAATTCCCAATTACTAAAAAAAATGGCTTAATATTCCTCCCAATTAGTTGTACATTTTCCCCGAACAGTGATTGTATCGGTAGTAATGTATGTAAATTTCGTATTCATGTTATTATTTTGTTATTATGAAAGCACTTTTGAGGTCCAGGTTTCTGATTAGAATCATCACGGCGTTTGTAACGCACGTGGTTTTCAATGTATTAAGTACCATCATTGTTTCCGTTTCTTTCCCCTCCCCAAAAAGTACCTTTCATGTTAAAAAATGTCTGACAATCAAAATATACGTGAATAAACTGTACAATAAAGACAGCAAAGGTCAGCAAAAAATCTGGGATTTGTTGACAATTAAAATTTTGTGAAATTCCTAGTTTTAAACAAAATTTTGACTAGCCCGTCGGACTACTGTGATTTGTATAATAGTCTTACTATCAAAATCCTTGGTGATTTCTATGCAAAATGTTTAATACCTTCAAAAAAGAATATGATCAACTATAAGTAACTATATAGAGAATCACTGAAGCATGACTGTAGCGGGCCCCCTCTTATGGCAGTCAGTGGGCCCCCTTATAAAAATTTCTGGATCCACCACTGACCCTATACATGTACCACAACTATAACTATTTTTAAGTCAGGAGTCTATGGTTCAGTGCATGGTTGTCGTTGGTTTATGTCTGTCATATTTGTTTTTTTGTAAATTGTTTTGTTATAAATTTGGCCGTTAGTTTTCCCTATTGAATTACTTCTGCCATATGATCACTTAAGTCGTTGATTTATTGATTTAGTCGAAATTTAGCATTATATGCTACTTACTTACTTACTTAGTTACTTACTTACTTACTTACAAGCAAGCTTTAATTCTTGTATCCTGTTTTATTTGTTTGTTTGTCTCGGAATCTCCTCAATGAAAGACATAGAGACTGGTATTTACAATTTATTTTTTTCATCTTTAAAAAAGTTATTGTATATTATTGAACAAAATAATTCGCTGGTGTTCAGATAAAGCATTTGAAGAAATTTAGTCATGCGCAATACAAAATTTAACGTGGCATCCGGAAAGAGTGTCGTTGCATATTTAGCTACGTGTTGTTACCGGCAAAAACAGATTTATCCATAATGATTGAAATTTTAAAGACAGTTTTGATATTTGTAGTTGCAACGATATTCTTCGAATCAGCTCATTGTTTATTTGTTAACATAGATGCAAATGCTGAGGAATGTTTCTTCGACAAAGTGACATCGGGAACGAAAATGAGCCTGATGTTTGAGGTTGCAGAAGGTGGCTTTCTTGATATTGACATAAAGGTATCAGAGTCTTATCAATTAAATAAGGGATCTGCTCCCCCCAAACACCCCACATGTCAGTGATTTTGATATAAGGCATGTGTTACCTGTGACAGGTTGGGTATACGTAATATCTCCATTTATGGGTATTAACTATAATTTACATGTATGTACCCTTAAACAGGTATCAATGTTTAGTAATAAAAATAAAATGAGGCAGGCATTACCTGTGAAAGGGGACGAAGTCTGGATACATTATTTTTTTAATTGATGCATATTTGAACTTCATGAGAATCTGAAAAAAAAGAAATGGAAATACGGAAACGTTTTCCAACGTTGCTCCTGTTGTTAGGGATTTAAGTTGTGACGTCATTTTCAATGTATACAAAAAACCGCTATCATCAGGTAACGTTTTTTTTTTTCATATCAAAGAATTATCAAAAACAACATGTTTACGGGAAACAATATGATGCTCCTTCCAATTTTACAAGTCTTGTGACAAACAAGACTGGAAGAAAGAAAGAGATTTCTGTGCAAATATGGGAAATTAAAAAAGTTAGAAAAAAAAAAAGGCAACCATTTAGAGTTCATTAGTATATTTTTTTTTTTTTTTTTTTCTCAGATACCATGACTTAAAAATCATATGGATAAAAGTTAATAGTCTTGAAAAATAGGAAGTTTGGAGGTCATTGTCTTTGAATCTGGGTCCATTCACTCCCATTCAAGTTTGCACCCATTTAAAGGTTTTGTTTTGAACAATTTTTAATGGTGTTTGAGTTAATGTATTGCTATGAAATAAAGATAAGAAGCTTTTTTTTTGTTTTAAAATAAAGTGGCATTACAAAAACATAAACAGGTTTCCTGTAGTGTTTTGTGAATTATTTAACGAAATGAATAAGAATTTTGTCATGATGATCAAAGGCCAATTTCATTTATCTGAGACTTGTAAAAGAAAGAGAAAAGATTCCAAATGACTATCAAACTCTTCACAATGACAATGCCACGAATAACATGAAAACCTGGCCACAAAGCACATGTTTATTAGGTCAAACCAATAACAACACAGTCTGCACCAAAAAATTTTCCAACTACTAGTTAGAAGACAAATATTCAGACATTTTCCTTATGTGTCTAAACAAAGTTTTGCAAAAATTTACTAGTCCGAATAAAATTTTACTAGTCTGGGGCATTTGACTAGTAGTGGTTAACGGTGCAGGCTGCAACAATCATGATTTTCAAACATTTAAAAATAATACCAAAATAGCTTTGTAAATACCTTATTAACATTTAATATTTATTCAACTAATCACAAAACAATATTTCATTTAAAAAATTCACAAATTTTTATTCATGGAAATATAAATATTGTGATATATATACATCTAAATAAAACATCTAGTAATTTAACCTGTATTTGAATGAAAATTGGGTGCTAACGAACCCAGGGGCGAACGTATGGGGTACGAAAGTGTTATGGGAGCGAACAGACCCAATACCATCATCTTTGTACTTGGCTCTCATTTGAACAGGGAAAAGTGATGCCATTTATATGAATATTTGCACACTGACACCCATGTGCAATAGAAATACAAAATTTGACCAAATAATGTAGAAGTAAGTAACTATATATATACATTTGTAGGTCACTGTATGGCCTTCAACAATGAGAAAAACCCATACTGCTTAGTTAAGCAAGCTATAAAAGGCCCTGAAATGACAAATGTAAAACAATTCATACAAGAAAATTAAAGGCCTGATTTGTGCAGAAAACAAGAAACAAAAAACAAATATGATATTTACAGCAAGAAACGACAGCCACTGAATTACAGGCTCCTGACTTGGGACAGGCACATTGTTATTCAACTATGATTTAGAATCTTGAATTTTCTTCCACCATTAAAAAACTGAAAATAACATACTTCTATCACAACCTAAATGAAATGATTGTCTTGCATCTTCATAAGTGAAGTTCTTTTCTTTGACTTTTTCAAGCAATTACAGATGCATGACAATTGGCCTACATGTATCTAAGGTGCCGAAGGTCAATATTTAGTGACCCTAGGCCTACGACAAGTAAGTAATAAAAAAATTTGCCAGATTTCAGGTGATTATATTAAATGAATCATTTATTTTTGCAGATTTATGGTCCAGATGGCAAAGTCCTTCATCAAGGAGAACGAGAATCTAATGGCAAATACACCTTTGCAGCCCATATGGATGGAATGTACAAATATTGTTTTAGTAACAAGATGTCCACTATGACACCTAAAACTGTCATGTTCTCAATGGATTTAGGAGATAAACCTAAAGGAGGAGAAAATATGGAATCAGATGGTAAGTGCTCATTCAAATGGTCATCTCTGTTTAACTAATTCACAGTTTTTTAGGCTTTGAGTGAATAAGAACTTTTCATATGTTGTATGTGTATATTTGATTTTAAATGTCTTATAAAAGATCATCATACTATTTTCAGTTTTAAAAAAATATAAATTATTATTATTATGATAAACTAGATATCAAGAATTCAATATAGCGACTTTTTCCATGGAGATTATTTGTTATGAGCTGTAAATGTAGATTTTTTTTTTGCAGAGTAAAGGCTAATTAAAACAAATTGCACTAGAATTTGGATTAATTGGAATAAGCCAAAAACTGCTTTTAACCTCATATAAACTTATCTTTTTACCATATGATTTTTAGCTCATCAGAATAAATTAGCAGAAATGATCAATGAATTATCAACAGCTCTGACAGGAGTTAAACATGAACAAGAATATATGGAAGTTAGAGAAAGAATTCATAGATCAAGTAAGTTATTATATAATGTAAATTTCAGTATAATATATGCTATCTTTTGTTATCCACAGCCTGCCACTGGACTCTCTCATGACGACTTAGTAAAATTTTCTCCTCACTTTCCATCACAACTGGTTCTAGTATTTTGTGTTTGAATTTCCAGTGTAAAAATTATGTATCTGTAATCATGGCAGGGATCACCATGAGCTGTTTTAGCGTGGAGGTGCGCCACGCTTGGATTTATCTCTGCCACTTTTGATTTTCATGCACCACGCTTAATTTGGTGTCCGCCACGCTGATGGTAATGCCTGTAAGAGTTTGATGACAAGACATTTCAGTTCTTCTTCCATGAAATTTACTTGATATAAACCAGTATACAGAATATAAAATGTTGCCAAAATATTCATCATCAACATGTTTAACAAAAATAAATTCAGAAGAAGGAGATTGAACTGTTTTTTTATACGACCGCAAAAAAATTTTGCAGTCGTATATTGGTAGGACGTCGTCGTCCGAAGACACATTGGTTTTCACACTCTAACTTGTGTTCAAGTGTATGGATCTCTCTGAAATTGTACTGCAAGGTACCATACCACAAATGGAAGACTGGGATTGATTTTGGGGGTAATTGCCTCAAAATTTTAGGAATTAAGGGCCAAAAAGGGGCAAAAAAACAAGCATTTTTCTAGTTTCATGACAATAACTTGTGTTTAAGTGTATGGATCTTTATGAAATTGTACTACAAGGTTCCATATCACAAAGGGAAAGCTGGGTTTGAGTTTGAGGGTAATTGCCGCAAATGTTAGGAATTTGGGACCAAAAAGGGGCCAAAAAACAAGCATTTTTCTAGTTTCCAGACAATAACTTGTGTTCAAGTGTATGGATCTCTCTGAAATTGCACTGCAAGGTACCATACCACAAAGGGAAGACTGAGATTGAGTTTGGGGGTGATGAATCATAAGGGGGTTCAAAAAATTGGGGGGGGGGATTTTTTTTCCTTTTTTTTTGTTTAAAATTTTCCATTTTAAATTGGTTATTTCTGATTTATATATAAAAGCAAATAATAATGATATGGTTTGAATAGGTAAATTAAATTTTTTTAAGTTCTTAGACCACATTCATTCTGTGTCAGAAACCTATGCTGTGTCAAATATTTAATCACAATCCAAATTCAGAGCTGTATCAAGCTTGAATGTTGTGTCCATACTTGCCCCAACTGTTCAGGGTTCGACCTCTGCGGTCGTATCAAGCTGCGCCCAGCGGAGCATTTTATTCTTTCATATTAGCACAAATACATGCCTTTGTTTAAAAAAGAAGTTTTTAGAATAAAAAACATATCGTAGTGATCGACACTATGCAGACAGAGTATGTTCAATATAGATCTATATTCAACTGATCTAAATACATGGTTATTGAACCTAGAACCAACCATTGATGAGAGAGTCTCAATGATAATGTACACTTTCTGTCATTACATGTATTTCAACAGAATTTTTGATCTTTTGCACAATGATATATATATATCACAGTCAGCAGAGAACTGAATTCTTGCAAACCTTGAAATATTGAAGTTTAAAACCAACACATTGTTTGCCATCTTCAAACAGGCAAAAACCTGGAATTTCTTTGAACCAATAAAGCATGGATAACAGGCCATACAAATGACTGCTCATGACAATTTCGATCTTGACTCTTGTATAGATTACAGTCTATCACAGAAGAAGTATATTGATCTGTTGTATGGTGGTGTTGGGTTCATTTTGCATAGGCCTATATTCATATGAAATGAGATCATGATGTGGTATGATTGCAATTGAGACAACTATCCACCAGAGACCAAATGATGTCGATGTTAGTAGCTAGAGGTTGCTGTAAGGCATTCAACAATGAGAAAAACTCATACAGCAAAGCAAGCCATAATAGGCCTCAATAAAAAAAATGTAAAACAATTCAAATGAGAAAACTGACTTTTTTAATGGTTGAGAATTTTTTGTTTGTTGTTTCTTTTCTTCATAGAAAATTTAAAGCTACAGATGTTTTAACAAATGCTTTTTTACTTTTTCAGTAAATGACAACACCAATTCAAGAGTAGTACTATGGTCATTCTTCGAAGCTTTAGTACTGGTAGCAATGACATTAGGACAAGTATATTACCTGAAAAGATTCTTTGAAGTACGACGGGTGGTGTAGGCTGATAATAAATTTAGGAGATACACTTTACAAATTCTCACACTGTGCAGCTAAAATATAACACCCAATCATTTTCAGTGGTTATAGTGCTAACATAATTGCATTTTTAAAAAGACATACAAATGTATTGTACTATGCTTAGATTAATTGTCACAGTGTATATATTTATTTGTACTAAGGTTTGTAGGGATAATGTTAATATTTTACCAACAAGTATCAGATTAATGCATTGGAAAAATTTTGTTGCTTAGAAAAATTAATCAGAATTTGATCAACAAATTATGATGGTAATAAGATAAGTTCTGGGTCCTCTGTCATAAAACTGTACTCAGTACTCGGAGTACAAAATTTGTGCTCGAAACACCAAATCCAGTATTTTGATTGGTTGATTTCTGAGTCAGAGTACGATAATCGTGCTCGAAACTTTTATAACCTCAAGGCCTGATATGTAAAATTATAGTACAGAATACTGTTTAGTGTCTATGAATATTGAGGATAAACCAGATGTTAATTTTACTTTGCTGATAATTAAATAGATGGCCATGCAATATTTGAGTTTTGATAGGAACAGAAACACAAGTCTGTATTTGCCAGAATGTTATTTTCAGTGGAACAGTATATTAACACCATCATTATAATTTTGATTTCTACATGAAAATGATTAGGTTAGATGTTTTAGCTTGATATCAGTTCATCCATCATTCCATATTGATAGTACATTGTACTTACGTTACAATATGTTTCATCATCTAAAGGTAGTTATTAAAGATAATTAAAATTATTGATATTTATTCTGATAAAGCAGATTTTAAATCAAGGCTTGCCTCGAGTTCTATAAAAGATTCAATATTTGATATTTACAATAGAATTTTGAATTGTTCAAAATAATGAAGGAGGAAAAAAAATCTGCAATGTATTTTTATAGCATTGTATAAAATTTAGACAAAAAAAATCAGTATGAATTCCTACATAAACATGATAAAAGGATTTATAAGGGCAGAGAGAGATCTCACTGCTTCTGAGTGTTGTTTCAAGTATTAAAAAGCTTAATACCATTTGAAAACCTAAATTTTTATTTTACAGTTAAAGAATTAAAAAAATTGTGTTTGTATAAACATCAAACTTGAAACTTTTAATACAGAATCACTTGAAGTAATTGAAATTGTTCATGTTCATTCATAATTTCTAGAAACAGAAGTTCAATAGTTTATATTAAGATATGGTACATGGTACATTTTTTTAATTTTATTTTTGTTTGAGTTTAAATATATTTCAAAATGTTTGTGTATTACTAAATGTAGGGACTTAATAAATTCATAAATATGGGAGAAAAAGGTTAAGTTGAGAAACACAAGATAGTTTTTTTATCTAACCATAGATTATGCAACCAGATTTTTAAATACTTTTCTCTACAATGCAACCGTCACTATGTGTTAACAAGTTGAAACCAAGTCATTTATAAAAAAGCTATTCAAGCTACATTATTGTTCTGCAAAAGCTTATTCCTACTGACATTTTTTACCTAAGACATATATATATGTATTTACTTTAATAATTTTCTTCATGCTAAGTTTATTGTGTTCGTTCTTTTATTATGTAATAAGTATTAATGTGTAATAGGTGTTGTTAGGATTAAATTTGACTGTAGTAAATTTACCATGAACACTTAATGGATACACAGTGTTGATCCAGCTTGTTAACAAAAAAATCAAAGATGAAATGTGCTCTCATTAATCTGGAATATTTGGGAGAAAGTTGAAAGCAAAGGCAAAATTTAATAGAGGCTTCTTTATTATCTTGAAATGAAACTGGAATAATAAGATAAATTTTCTCTCTGTGTGCTCACTTTACTTACTTGCTTGTTAGAGGGACATTATTACAAGTTTACATGTAAAATGTTAATATTTTTGCATGTTTTGATGTTTTAATGAAAAACTGCCAGTTAAAGATATATGGGACAGTTAAAATCTCTGAACTAAGTGGTAAAATAAAAAGTGCCTTGTGATACCTCTCATACACCTTTCAGTAAATAAAACTTTGCAGAAATTTGAGTTTATAATTTATGTGAGCATTGATAAAGATCAGAGAAAACTTATATATCAAAGGTGGAAAACAAGTTTTAATATAAGTTTTTATAAAAAAAATTAGCCTGTTATGAAAATCTTAAAATTCATTGGTTAGAAAGAAGGGAGATAATCTAATTCAACAAATCTGGGAATTTTATCATAATTACAAAAGGAAAGAGAATAGAGCTGGTACTTTGATAGTTATTTCTTAGTATTTCATGAGACTGTTTTCTGATGTACACTTCAGCTTTGGATCTCGTACAAGGGACTATCAAGTTTACAATAGAATTTTGAATTGTTCAAAAATAATAAAATTGAACAGTGTGGGGTTATTCCTGTTATTTCACTTTTTCCTAGACAAATAATCAACCAATAATAATTTGAAATTCCAAATAGTGTATTAAGATTGCATTTATCTAATGAAGACTATCACTTTGTCAGTAATGCCTTAATGTTGTTTTTTTATGTATAAAATAATATTGAACTGAGACATGGTGTACAAATAACAAATGTATTATAAAGTAAAGTATATGTACAATAGAAGATTTTAGAAATAGATCATTGCTCATCAAATGGCTGTTATGTAAAATAAACCAATTGTATATTTTAATAATTGCTGAATGGGTAGTGCATCTGAATGAATGTCAGCGATTTACTGTATTATGCATGTGGAAAATTTATTTTACCAGAGAACACACAACAATATTTATGTTTTAAAATTAAGCCAAAGATCACAAATAATAATTACAATACTGTAAATTCAGAAATTATTGCATGCATTTATTATTGCTATGTTGCCGTGACAGAATAAAATGTAAGAATAATTATTGCGATTACAGGAAAAGCTGCATACAAATATATGTCAGATTTCAGAATGCGAGTTCCAATTATTGCAATACTCACGCAGTTGCATTGTTTGCAATAATTAAAACGTTGCAATAATTTCTAAATTTACAGTAATAATAAAGCAATATATTTCATATGGTAATTTGTCTGCTAATGGAATACATATTATGAACTAAATGTTTACTTGATTATTGTAAAAAGAGTGGAATACATTGTATTTCTGTTAATTTGTTATAAATATTAAAAATGTCATTTTCTATTTTTACGAAATTATACTTGAAATATGTATGTGGTACTTTTACAGTTAACATAAGAATAACAAACAAACTTGGAACATCAAACCTAAGTTCTACATGTATTTTCATTATAATAAATGTTTTGAAGAATAACATAACATCACCTCACACTATGACAGCATGTTTGCAACCTGTAAACTTAAATTGAGCTTGATAGATTTTTTTCTCTCAAATAATTACATATGAATACTTTTTAAAGAATATATATTTCAAACTAAGTCTTTTTCGTATTTTTGTTATCTATTTAATTCACATGTTTTGTTGAGAATTTTCATATTATGGAAAGTTATTTTATTTTCACTTTTTTTTTCATGTGTGATTGCTAAATATGTGACCTAAGTTTGAATGTGACACTGATGAAAGAATGGTTGGTGTTTGTCTTTGAAATGAAAGAAAAGAATAAAAGACCTTAAAAAAGAATGTTTTTCTTGTTTTTATACGACCGGTCGTATATTGGTATGACGTTGGCGTAGTCGTCCAAAGACAATTGGTTTTCGCACTCTAACTTTAGTTTAAGTGAATGGATCTCTATGAAATTTTGCCATAAGGTTCAATACCACAAAAGGAAGGTTGGGATTGATTTTGGGGGTTATGGTACCAACAGTTAATGAATTAGGGGCCAAAAATAAGCATTTTTGTAACTTCCAGACATAACTTGTGTGTTAGTGTATGGATCTCTCTGACATTGTACCACAAGGTTCCATATAACAAAGGGAATGCTGGGATTGATTTTGGGGGTAATTGCCTCAAATATTTAGGAATTAGGGGCCAAGAAAGGGGCAAAAAACAAGCATTTTTCCAGTTTCATGACAATAACTTGTGTGTAAGTGTATGGATCTTTCTGAAATTGTACTACAAGGTTCCATATCACAAAGGGAAATATGGAATTTAGTTTGGGGGTAATTGCCCAAAACGTTTAGGAATAAAGGGCCAAAAATAAGCTTTTTTCTAGTTTCCAGAGAATAAATTGTGTTCAAGTGTATGGATCTCTCTGAAATTTTACTGCAAGGTACCATACCTCAAAGGGAAGGCTGGGATTGATTTGGGGGGTAATTGCCTCAAAATTTTAGGAATTAGGGGCCAAAAAAGGGGCAAAAAACAAGCATTTTTCTAGTTTCCGGACAATAACTTGTGTGTAAATGTATGAATCTTTATGAAATTGTACTACAAGGTTCCATATCACAAAGGGAAAGCTGGGTTTGAGTTTGGGGGTAATTGCCCTAAACGTTTAGGAATTTGAGGCCAAAAAGGGGCCAAAAAACAAGCATTTTTCTAGTTTCCAGACAATAACTTGTGGTCAAGTGTATGGATCTCTCTGAAATTGTACTGCAAGGTACCATACCACAAAGGGAAGGCTGGGATTGAGTTTGGGGGTGATGAATCATAAGGGGGTTCGAAAAATTTGGGGTGGGGGGGGGGTTTTCCCCTTTTTTTTCTTTAAAATTTTCCATTTTTGTCGAGCCTTCGACTTTTGTCAAAAAAGCGAGACATAGCGATCCTACATTCCGTCGGCGGCGTCCACAAATATTCACTCTGTGGTTAAAGTTTTTGAAATTTTAATAACTTTCTTAAACTATCCTGGATTTCTACCAAACTTGGACAGAAGCTTGTTTATGATCATAAGATAATATCCAAAAGTAAATTTTGTAAAAAAAAAATTCCATTTTTTCCGTATTTTACTTATAAATGGACTTAGTTTTTCTGCCAGTTAACATTACATTCACTCTGTGGTTAAAGTTTTTGAAATTTTAATAACTTTCTTAAACTATCCTGGATTTCTACCAAACTTGGACAGAAGCTTGTTTATGATCATAAGATAATATCCAAAAGTAAATTTTGTAAAAAAAAAAATTCCATTTTTTCCGTATTTTACTTATAAATGGACTTAGTTTTTCTGCCAGGAAACATTACATTCACTCTGTGGTTAAAGTTTTTGAAATTTTAATAACTTTCTTAAACTATCCTGGATTTCTACCAAACTTGGAAAGAAGCTTGTTTATGATCATAAGATAGTATCCAGAAGTAAATTTTGTAAAAAAAAAAAAATTTTTTTTCAGTATTTTACTTATAAATGGACTTAGTTTTTCTGCCAGTTAACATTACATTCACTCTATGGTTAAAGTTTTTAAAATTTTAACAACTTTCTTAAACTATCTTGGATTTGTACCAAACTTGGAGAGAAGCTTGTTTATGATTAAAAGCTAGTATCTAGAAGGAAATTTTGTTCAAATTTTGTTCCATTTTTTCCGTATTTTACTTATAAATGGACTTAGTTTTTCTTCCAGTTAACATTACATACAGTCTGCAGTTTAAGTTTTTAAAACATTTATTAGATTCATAAACTGTCCTGGATTTTTACCAAACTTGGACAGAAGCTACTTACAATCAAAAGATAGTATAGAGAGGAATATTTTTATTAATATTTTTCCTCATTTTTGTTGAGCCTGCGATTAACAGCAAAAGTAGGCGAGACACTGGGTTCCGCGGAACCCTTACGAATTTTAAATTGGATATTTCTGATTTATATATAAAAGCAAATACATGTAATAATGATATGGTTTGAATAGGTAAATGGTAAATTAAAAAATTTTAAGTTCTTAGACCACATTCATTCTGTGTCAGAAACCTATGCTGTGTCAAATATTTAATCACAATCCAAATCCAGTGCTGTATCAAGCTTGAATGTTGTGTCCATACTTGCCCCAACTGTTCAGGGTTCGACCTATGCGGTCGTATCAAGCTGTGCGCAGCGGAGCATTTTATTCTTTGATGATATTTGATCTCCAGTAATACATTCTGTATAACTTCCTCATCTTCTCTTACTATGAAGATACAGAAGAGATTTGTACTGCCATTTCCCATCTGTGCTTCCCTCTATTCCAATATTTATGCTACAAACAGTCCTTCAACCAGTTGACATCCATAGTTGGACACTACATAGATAGATTTAACTGTTTATCCATACATTCATCCTTTTTACTGTTCACTCTTTGACTCCATTTGAGCGATTTTCATAAAGGAGTAGGTCCGGTAAGGGCCGATTTTGGCCTCAAAATTCAAGTTCATCTGATGAAAGATTTTGGACACTTTTTAAACACTTAAGTGTCTACTTCAGTCGATTCAATCAGTTTATGTGAAAGATTTGAACTGATTTAGTCATAAAAGACGCTCAAATTCAAGCTTAAATTTGAAAAATCTATCAAATATGCCATAATATGTCACTTTTCAGATGGTTTTTGTCAAAAATGAAAGTGGCCGCATCCGTGTTCATTCTCAACCTTTATATATGTTATGTATTATCATCAAATACAACTTACATTTAAATATTAAGAATGAACACAAATGCGGCCACTTCCATTTCAGACGGAAACCGTCTAAAAATTAACCAAAATGCTAAAATTTTGAAGATTTCAGTAATTTAGCATGACTTAATGATGCTAGTACCCGATACTTGTGCATTGTATTGTCAAAAACAGCCCATATTTATGTAACAGAATTATTCTTCTTTCCAATAAATAGCTTAAAATTTACATTTTAACAATTTTGTAAAACTGCTATATTTTGGGGCCAAAAAGGGGTCTTACTGGGCCAACTCCTTTCAACACAATGTGACGATTAATGAAAAAGATTTTGATTTTCACGTTTGAAAACTGTAAATTGTGGTTTTGGAGTAATTGGACTTTTATTATCAAAAGGGGTGGCAATTTTCATATTTTGTATTATTTTACAAGAAAATCACCAACTGGTTATAGCATGAATTTTTTTCAGAGATATGTCAACCATGATTTGGTGGGTTTCTGATTTGCTGAATGTCCAGTGGAAAATAATTTTATGCATATTCAAGACAGATGTGGGACTTCTGACGTAAAAGTCCATATACTCCTTATATAATAAAACTGAAATTTGCTTGACTGATTTTCATGAAATTAATACAATGTTAAAATTGCTATAAAGAAAGCTTCCTTTTCATTTTTGTTTTTCCCCCTGTCCGTCCGTCCGTCCCATTATGGGTATATAGTTATTCGAAATAACTCCTCCTACAGTTGAATGCTAGGAAGTTTTCACTTTGCTGGCTGTTTGTACATATATTGAAGGTTTGTGCATGTGGTCAGGGTTTTGATTTTTATTGATATTTGCTCTTTTGGGAGATAGTTGAACTTTGTCATTTTTGGAGTATATGCTTGCATAAGAGGTGCATATCATTTACGGATAACTCCTCCTACAGTTTGAATGCTAGGAAGTTTTCACTTTGCTGGCTGTTTGTTCATATATTGAAGGTGTGCATGTGGTCAGGGTTTGATTTTTATTAATATTTGCTCTTTTGAGAGATAGCTGAACTTTGTCATTTTTGGAGTATATACTTGCATAAGAGGTGCATAACCCCTCCTACAGTGAACCATAGACCTATGTGCTCCCATGCTCAACTTTGTGTATTTTAAAATAACACTTTGCATCTGCGGGGGCATCATTTGTGTCTCCCAGACACAATAATATCTCAAAGAAAGTCCTACATTGACTTTGTTATAATACAGTTACTTCAGAGTGGAGTGCGGGGGCATCACTTTGTCTAGTTTTGTGTTTATTTTTATTTGGAAGTTGTTGGACTTCAATTTCAAAAGGGGGAGTAGGCAAATTTTTTCATTGGTGGAATGATAGTTGTATGATGTCTGCAATGAATATATGCCATGGTAAGTGTTTTGAATTCTTTATAAGTTTTCAGGTTTGATAAAAAGTTTAATTGTCAATGTCATATACTCCAATTAAAACTTGTATTCACCAAAAAGCTCTTGATATGTATCTTCATCAAACAATTCTTTGCAAAGGGCAGTCTTAATTCCTATAAATTTTAAAAGTTACAAGTCGAAGCTATCACAAAATGACAGCAGATTAATAAAGTAAATGAGCTGTTAGTCCATAACATAACCAATTACACAAGATTACGAAATTTGGTATCAAAACAAGAATTATGTGTTTTTGTGTTCGTATACCCTAGCTGGAAATTTAAAGTAACATAAAAGAGGAAGGTGTTTGGCAGAACTGAAAAGTGCTATCGCATTAAAACTCATCACGATCTAGCTGCAGTCAGATTAAATATGAAGTAATTCTGTTCAGTAGTATTTAAATACATTTAAAGTATGGCCTTTGGGAAAACAGAAAGTAGGTGTGTGAAAGATCTGAAAAAAGTTTCATACTTTACAACTTGGCACTGTCAAGTAGGAGACCAAATATAAAGACATTCTGTTCAAAAGTACATGTACTTGTTAAAATTTGAAAATACATGTAGTAACAATACTAAACACGAGTGCACACGCTGAAATGACTCGCCTTCTTTACTGACCATTGATTTTATGTTGATAATCCTAAATATAAAGCTTTACTACAACTATCACATTATCCTAACATGATCCTAAACAATGAGG